ACAAGCCGGTCTTCTTGGAGACTGGGCCGCTGAAGCGCTGAAGCTGGTACGGCAAAACGACGTGTCTGATGCAGACCCTGCTTTATTGAGACAGCATCTCGATGATTACTTGAATCGACTCCACCTTCTTTTTGAGCAAGGCCGGATACTGCTTGATCCCAACAACTTGGAAACCTGCGTGGCGAGATCGATCCGGAACGCCCGAGAGGCTCCACCGATTTATTATGGCTTCAAGATCAAATACCTCTGGGAGGAAGAGATTGGATCGCGAGAGGCAGTTCTAGCCTTGCACCAAATGAAAGAAGCGGCAAGGGCCTGCAAGGCCAGATTGGGAGCCGAATTCGATGACTCGCTGCTGTCCGACTTTGCAGCCTTCGACCTCCAGGAATGGCGTAGATGCTTGCGCCGCCAGACGGAGAACCAAAGGATGGGACTGCAGAACCTTGTGCGCCGTTACAAGAGGCTGTGCAAGGCCTTCCAGCTGCCGGTACACCAGGCCGAGCAACAGTGCGCCAACGAAATCGTGACGGCAGCAGCACATTTGATTCAGGTGAACGCAAGACTTTTCGAGGACGAGGTCGCGGTCGACAACAGACAGTTGTGGGCTACATTCAGTAGCACCACCGGCGTCGGGGTCGGCTTCGAGTACTTGCACAAGGTGCTGGAATGGTATTTGTCCATTGAGCACGTGACAAGTTCTGTAGAGCGTGGCCTGGGGGATGTGAAACGTGTGGCAGAGGCACACTGCGGCATCTCCGAACTTCCGCTGTCTGACCTCAGCCTCCTGCTCATCGACGGCCCTCGAACGAAGGAGGAGGTAGTCAGCATGGAGGAGGGGGTTGCAAAGCTTACTGACTTGAGCCGGCAGTGGGCCGCCTTGTGGGTGACAAAACACGGTCGCAGATTTTGCTCTTATACTCGCAGAATGGGGCCAGAACCCAGATGGGCAAAGAGCACGAAAGAAACAGATGCTTCCATCAAGAGATCCCAGGATGCTGCGAGGGATGAACTTTGCAGCCTTCGGAACCGCGAAGCTACGCAATCGAGGCCGCTTTTGTCATTGACTCGCGTGGACGACCCCGTCCAAGTTAGCAAGCAGACGCAAGACTTCCGCAAGACCACCGAGAGGCGACGCGAGGAAAGCCGGAAGAACAGGGATGATTGTGTGCTGAACAATGCAGTCGTGCTGCCTGACGTCCTCGACGCCAGCTTGCTGCAGTCGCAAACGACCCTGTGCCACAAGAAGTTCGACAACTTCAGCGTTGACACTCGTTCTTAACACTGCAAGTTTTCCCGAGATGTGGTTGTGGTCTTAAGATTCAATTTAATGATCACCGTAGTGTTCGGTATTTCATTTTCGGCAGGTGATGAACTGCACGTCCTCCGACTTGCAGCTGGAGAATGCCGACTTGTTAAAGGCCATGCGGTGCAAAGCTCTGCTCATCGTGCCCGATCTTCGCAAAGTTCATTGTGCAGCTGACCCTGCCCTGGCTTTCGCTGTCGCGGTCGCGGGCCTGAGTATTTGCTCTGAGCATGATTTCCGGCGGAACAGCCCTGTATCTGGGCAGCATCACAGCATCATTCATATATGAAGTTCAAACCTATTGTTTGGCCGCTGGCTTTTGCTTCGACTAGTTCGGGTCTGTTGCATTGCCTTGCTTAGTGGTTCCTTCTATTTCACAAACGATCATCGCATCTGAGGCAAGCATCGTCGAGCATGTTCCTCCGGGTCAAGTTTCCCTGAAACTGTCGGACGGCTTTGTCTCCACTTCGCCTCCACTTTGCCTCCAAGTTTGTAGACTCGCAGCACAGCTTCACATGATTCGTCTTGTTGAAGAGGTCGACCATGATACCTATCATATCGATAGCTCCAAAGATTTTAGACGGGTCGCCCTGGCACTGCTAAACGTGCGCAGGGACCCGGGGGTAGCATTGCCGGGGAGCCGCTTCACCATGAGCTCATGTGTGCCGGCTAAGAAGGTAGCAATGCGCTCGAGATTGCAAAATCTCTTTCAAGCACATCGTTGAAGGATGGGATACTTCATATTCAAGCATGCATTGCCGAGCAGTCGACGACGTGCTGTCGGGGTCGCAGTTTCACAGGGGTTCGCTCGCAGAAAAAAAGGGAAGGCTGCAGTGACTCGTGTGCGGTGGTCAAGATTGCACTACTGACGTTCATCCCAATCCCTCCTTGCCAGGCGAGGATGGCCAAGATCCTGGTTGGCCGGCGACGATATACATATAAATAAATAAATACAAATATAAATATAAATAACAATATAAATATAAATAAATATAAATATAAATATAAATATAAATATAAATATAAATATAAATAAATATATATATATATATATATCGACTCAACCTCACGCATGTTGGTGGTAAGAGGTTTGGCTTTCATGTCAAGGTAGACCATGCAAAATGGTCGGAGGGGAAAAAAATTTTCAGAGCAGCCGGATTGTGAATCAAGCAAGGCGGTCTTGGTGTTCACAATGTCGTCGAGGACGGGAGGGCCCTGTGCTCAGTGGGACTTTCATGACACCGGCTGTGGCGCATCCGGCTTTTCAGCCGCTCACATGGCCGATGATCGGGATGGGCAGCCGGGTCTATGCGATCGGACCACAAGGATCGTTTTGTTGACAGCCGGTCTTGCCGGGGTCCTGTGTGTGTGTGTGTATGTGCATGTAAGACCTGATTCTAAGGAGTGTTCTGTAAATCTTTATCATTGATGACCAAAGTGGAAGAAGCGGAATAAGATGATTCGCCGACATAGCGTGGGGATTGGCTATCCATGCAAATGTCAGTCCAACGAAGAGGCTTGCATTGGATACTGATATCCGGCCTGATCAACCGGACGTACCTGCAAAGTTTCACTTTCTGCTGCTCGTATAAAATGAGCCTTCTCAGACCATTGGACTTACGTATATGTTCTGTTGAAAATGCAGCTACATCATATTTGTTTTTCAGGTTTTCGGAACCCCTCGTCATGAAAGCAGACGAAAGGAGAAATCAGAGATGAAGAGAAGATCCATCAAGAAGAAGAACATTGACAACCGGCTCGGACCGGCAACGACGTAATGTGCGTGTCTGTGCGTGTGTGCGCACGCACGTGTGTGTGCATATAGTTTCCTCGCTCACGGGGTCACGCCCATTTGGCGTTTTCGGGCCTATGGGTTTCGGAAATGCACGGGCGACACGGATGCATGATTCGGACTGGCGCAATGAAGCTGCGGTATCCAGTCATGCATCAGGTCATCAGGCTTGGTCATGTACTTGCCGTGAAAAGGCCCCCGTACCAAAATTAGCTGGTGCTGCATTTTTTGTCCGGCAGCTCATCAGTCAATGTGGCAGTTTATGTCACAGCACCAATGCGTGCACGCGCGTGTGCGTATGTGTTTCCGGTGTGCACATTTCGGCACTCCTTATTTAAGTTATTTTCGCGTGTAGTCATCGTACGTACAAGCAAAACGCTCCGCTCCGGTTTTTTCAGGCAACCCCGTTCATGGACTGGAACATTGTAACAGCTTGTGCATTGCAAGAAGTATCCGAGGCAAAGCCTGGACCATCTACGGCGCGAAGTCCAGCCAACAAAGACCCGTATGGAGGCAAGACAAGAAAGAGTGCAGATTCAGTGGCAAAGCGTGAAAGCGATTTAGTCTCCGGCCTGTGGGCAAGCAATCCTTTAAAGTTATACTAGAAGCTGCACAGTCCTGTTCCGGCATGTTCTGCAAGGCAACGCGTCTGTCGACCTGACGGAGGAGGAAGCACCTTTCCCACAGTGACCCATGCTGCAAAACGGGTGTATCGCAATGGGGAAATCTTATGTGTGCTTGACGGTGATTGTTGCTGAACTTCTAAACCGCCTCCGAACATTATTCGACGGTGGTTGCAGGTGGCTGTTGCGCCGAAGCGATTTTGAAGTCCGCAGAACTCTCCCAATCACAAGAAAATATCTTGCAATTGTCAGAAGGATGAGTGTAGTTCGGTGGCAATATTCGAACTTGGCGTGGCATCGGTTGCAGGACTTCGGTTAAGGTTCATAGCTTCAGCAGAGATTCGGTGCATAACGGAAGCTGCGAGAGAACGCTGATGAGCCCAACCCTGTGGTTTCACGAATCCTGGAAGGAGGCACAAACACTCTTTGAAGTCCAATTATATACCAACACACACACAATGACCAGCCAGCAAGGCATTCGGAAGCACTGCTGGGAAGCAAGGGTACGAGTTGTACCTTAAGCCAAAATGGCTGCGGTGCTGGCAGTGCTCATGGCTGATCATGAAGACAGCCCTAGCAACGCTTCCTCGATAGAACTGAGATATGCAAAGTCTTAACACACCTGTCCATTCGTGCGCGTCACCCTGACACACGAGCAGCCTTGGTTGTCCTCGGCCCTAAGTTCAGCAATGGCGAAGTCGATCAGTAATTGGCGGTGAAGTTACACCTTTTTCCATGCGTCCTGGCAGAAGTGTCCTGGTAGAACTCGAACCTACAATCCCCCACACGGGAAGCTGCTGCACGATTCGATGTGCTGGTTCATGATAAACCCTGCCTGAGCTTCCGGGTGAGGGTGCTTGTCAATATTTCAGCAGGGGACAAATCATGCGCTCCGCTTCTTGCGAAGCACTGCAAAGTTGCGAGAGGTACACGACGACTGACATGCAGTCCGGAGACGAAGAGGCCCGCATATGCCCGCATGGTGGCGTCATGACGCAATGTCGTTAACGTGGACTGTTTTCTTTCTCTTTAGCACCTGTGGTTCGACGTTGTCCCGTGCTGAGTCTCGCGCCGACCTGCTGCAGGATGCACTCGATGACAGCCAACTCAGCACTATTCTTGGAGAGCTCAGCTGTCCTGCCGCCAGCACCTTACATAGAGCCCTGCTAAGTCAAAATGCAGCTTCATGGACAGCCTAGCCGAGGACACATGAAGAAACACTTTCTCAGTCAGCTGTCATGCAGTCCAAGAGCCGTCTAGTTGCTTGTTCCGCCCAGGCTCGATGTTCAGACGGCGACCCGTACCAAGTTCTGCAAGCGAAGTGAGAAATGCGCGAACGAATTGCGGAGATTCCCTTGCCGAGGGCAGTGAGTCTGCACCAGAGGTTTCTGTTAATGTGAAGCCTTCGTGGAGCCGACACGGAGTCGCACAGACATGGTCGAGAAAAGGCGCTTTAGCGCAAATAGTTGGAAATACGCAGGTCAACAAACCTCCAACACCACATCGATATGCCAACCGAAATGCCGTACACGCTAGCCGCGTGGAACCCCCTGCTGTATGTCACTCAGTTCTCGAGGTGTCGTGATATGTAAGTACATTCTTTGCAGGTCTGTGGCGTGCTGCCCGACCGGATGCAAGTGCAACAGCGCGAGGCACCTTCATTCTTTCAGGAAGCAAGGCAGGCAGGTCGAACCAGCTGCGAGTGTGTATGAGCAGGAAATAGACCCGCTGGACGATGAGCTCAGTGGAAATGGCATAGAGTGCGAGACCCAAACAAGTCTGGCTTCAACGACCTGCATAAATCTGTAAAGCAGCAGGCACCGAATCGATGACGCTTGGGCGGTGATGTCAGAGGTGCCCAAGCTGGGGTGTTCGATAAAAGACATAAAGTATTGCACGCTGCGCCAGGGTTGCAGTGACGCCATGGACCTGATGCAGAAGAAGGATCCAACACAAGCACCTGCACCCGTGCCATTAGCATCAGTTCTAGCCTTTGCTACTATCAGGCAAGTTGTCAGTATTCTAGACTCGACGCTTTTCACATGTCACTGTACAGGCGCAAGCAATGCTTCGGGCCAGGCTGGCAGAAGAGGCGGGATATGATGTTTGCAAGAATTCGAAAGAAGCTCAACTCCGCGGAAGCTGCCGGTGGCTGGAGGATGATCAAAGGTTCAGATGGCAATTGCTCAGTTTCGGAAGGTCGGTGACTTCGATGCTCGAGTCCACCGCGAGTGCGTTGGACTTGTGGCAGCTCACAAGCAGTGTGTGCTAAATGCCGCGAAGGAGCCATGCACACATGAAAGTTTCAGAATGACGCAGTGGTTTGGATTTGCTAGCCTGAATTTCTGGTATAATTATTACCCACACTGCATGAGCCGGGCTGCTGACAGCGCAAAACATCCGCCGGCTATCGCAACACATTGATTGCGCCAGCATGCTAAGCCGCTAAGCGTAAGTATAAGCCGCTAAGCGACACAACCAGCTTTCCAAATCCAGTCCAGAAATTCTGGAAATCCCGCGGAGAGTCCGAAGCTTGGGAGTCACGGGCTCTTGAGTTGAAACCTTACCCTGCCAGTGATCCATCCGCGCGACCCACTACCTTTTCAACTACGCAGGCCGAGCTGCCTGGCCAGCTCTCGGCTCCAGATCTGCCAAAAGCTGTTGAAATTCGAAAGGTTTCTTGGACACCTTTCTCGGACTCTTTGTTGGTGCAGCGTCTCTTGAGAGCCTTGCCGCTCGCAATGTTCGGAGTCTCGCAGGAGGGCCTCGAGCGAAGCTTGCCAGCTCTGGACGTGGTTCGAGCTTGCAAGCAGCATTCGACTTGGCCTCTGCAGCCCACAACCATCACGATGTCCACGTGATGGCTTCCAGGCCTTCACGCTGGCAGGCGTGGAGTGGTGCGGCACTTCCGGCGGGTTTCGTGGCAGACAGTATGGCCCAGTATGGCAGCTTAGATGTTGAGCGATTTTTGGCAGAATGCGGAGCCTGGGCCGAACGGTTCCTCTCTCAGCATCCTGCTGAACCATTTTTCGCAGGGCGGTCTGCAAATACCCGAAAAGCCAGTCAGGTCCTTCAGAACGTACTTCAAGTTCAGACTGGATGTCCACGACGTGGCCTTACAGCGTCAGCAGTCCTGCTGTACTCTGACACGACAATTTCAGCCGTCACAAAATGGACATGTTCTGTTTATGCTATGAGGACATGTCCCACGGAACGACTTGGACCATCGCCAGCCATGACAGAGCAGCGGCCCTACAGTACTGTAGCTGTCTTTTGTCAAATGCATGTGGATTCTGACTGATTCTGATTAATAGTTACGCTAAGGATCCAGGTCGGTGTTTTCGTGACGCAGAAAACTTTTAGGCTCTGCTGAGGTTGCGAAGCCCGACACCGCTGGGTGTGTCTGGCCCAGTGCAGTCTGCCACGTTCACAAGGGGGCTCCTGAGCAGGCTGAAACTTTGATTATGGTGTCAGATGATAAGCCAGATGCATCAGTTACAGGATGAGTACAGGCGGAAAGCCCGATGTGTTGGGGTTTAGGGTTAATCACGGATCTCCTGCTTGGCGGGTTTGCGTTCGCAAGTGGACGTCTCCTTGCGTGGCAAGTTGGGGTGTTCACTCAACCTCTTCATCGAGGCTTTAGGGTTTCCCACCTACCTCTGAATTTTCGGCTTCAGAGTCCGTCAACCAACATCTCTGTTTCGTCTGTCGGCCTGCTGCTTGGCATCTCCTTCGAAGGATTTCTCTTCAAGGTTCGGGGGATCGGGATCAAGTCTCCATGTGGTTTCCCGCAAGAACAACTGTACGGTTTCCGACGCAACATCCGCTTAGGGTTGACAATGTGCCAGTCAGGTGAGTTTGGGTTTTAGGTCCGGTATGGTCCGGTAACTGTTTGGGTAGCTCAGGCCCTGGCGGGGTTCCCGTGTTCTAAACCATGTCTCGTTTGGGCTTCTGGGATTTTCAAGACAACCTTCCTCATCCAACATTTTGCATTTTGATTACCAAACATGGTTTGGTTGGCTTTAAGTTTGCAGGCTCGACATCGCCAAACAAGAACAAGTCCGATATCTCCCCATGCAACGACGCAACCTCCCCCTTCCAGCACCGGTTCCCACCGGACATCACCTCTGGGGCAGGGAACGTTAGGTTCGCGTGACAGCTTGTTCGGAGTTTGGTGCAGTTAGTAGGTGGTGTCCGCATCCTCAAGTAAGAGTGGACCCTGCTGGAAGTGACCGTGGAGTTCCTGGTGCGACCTGTTGGCGCTTCCTCATCTAGCTTGGCTCGCGAACTCCATTGCTACAACGGCTCCGGGCAGTCGAATCCAGTCCACGGTGCACCGCTCCTTGCACCTCAAGACGGGGTACAGTGTGGAGCTCAGGGCGTGGCGACTTCTACCGGCACCCTGTCGCCTGTCGTCGTTCTGGGCCCTGCATGCCTGAGAAGTCTCGCTTCGGTTCCGATGTCGATCTTCCCGCCGGTTCACTTTGCGAGTCTTTGCGGTTCTGTGAGGCCTCGGTTCGGTCCCGGAAACATTCTACCGGAGCTCCTTCCCCGACCTGGTATTTCTGTGTATGGTCTTGCAAAATGAATGTTTTGCCTTGTTCTTGGAGCTTTCGAGTCAACTTTAGAGTCGTCTCCACATCTTGAGTCAAAAGTCCGACGAATCAGGTCAGCTCTGACCTTGCCCACATTCTGGCGTACGCTGCTGCAAGAACACAACATTGTGCATGTTCTGTCGAGCCGGGTCTCTGCATCCTCTGCCGTCACAGTTTGCCGGTGATCTTGCATCTGCACTTTGACGGCATTTTGTTTCAGAGCAACCTGACAGATGTGCCGGTACCAGTGCTAGTTCACCAGCAACGAAATTGATGAGCAGCTGTTGGAGCTGAGTCCGTATGAGTATCGCCACAACAGCCTCACCCCTTTAGCTCGAATCCGAAGCGTTGAAGCTGGCAGTGGGAGTTGGTTGCCCGTGTAGCACAAGATTCAGGAACCTGGGCTGACAGAGGATAAGGTCAGCCGAGCAAACGCACGGATGCACGACAAGCGGATTCGGTATTGTTCGTTGGTTCCTCTCCCAAGGACACATAACGCATGAGGTTCGGAACAGTAGTCAGATCAGAGCGCCCGGAAGCCGGCACATGATGCCGATGAGGGCTGTTTGACTGAGGCCTTCGAGCCGCGACCCTCGCGATCCTTCGCAGATGAGAGGCCTTTGTTCCACACAGCCCGGGCATGCTCGCATGCCATCATGCTCTTGTGGAGGACGCGACCCAGGGAATCTGCCCGGTTGGATGGATCCAGGCTCTCAACCCAAGCGGAGCAGCACTTCGAGTCTCGCGGACCTCATTGTACGTATGCGCCACGTCGCTCTTGCACTCAGGTGCGCCGGTCTGAGACCGAACAGCCAGTGATCTCTGTGGAGCTGACATCGCCAGAAGCCATGACTGGACGGATTAGGCGCAACGAAGGTGCTGACAAGCGGCATGCGCAAAACTCGCGCTAGCCGATGAGTTGCATTTGACGGGCCCAACCGAATCAAGGGTAGGCCCCGCATGGCCACAAAGCGGGCCAGCAACAGTTGCAGCCTCTTCTTGGTCTCGTGGGTGACTGTAAAAAAGGTGACATTTCATGGGCTGCGAGTGATGTTGTCGCATGGGACGAGAGCTCATTCCAAGTCGTTTTTTGAAGGTTCAATGTTACCACCATCTTCTGCCTCTTCTTCTTTGCCTTGGAGGCCGTGCCGACTTTGGCTGTGGCAAAGCAAGGCTGCCCAAATGGCTTTCTTGTTGCAGGTCCTGCTCTCGTCGTTCTGCAAGCAGGAGACATGCGGCACATGCAAGCTGCACACAGTCTTCGATTCTGGCACTCGCAACAGTGTTTTCCGAGAGGATTACTTCCTAGGTTTCTTCTTCGTCCTCGATTGCGTTTCCACAGCTTCACTTCTGCTGGATCTCACATGGGTGCGGCAAGCATAACTTCCTGCGGCAGTTCTGAGACATGAAATTCTGCAGAGGTTGCCGACTCGTTAGTTTCAGATGACTTCGCAGTGGGCGACCAGGCCCGCGTGAGTGCTGTAGCCGCCGGCAACCGCCAGCTGGCCTCCTCTTCATGATTCCCATCCCACACCCGCAGGCGCGTGGTGGGAGGACCGCACGCCTTGGCGCGCTGTGGACTGAGATCATTCTGCACTATTGCGATCCCGATATTGTTTTGAGCACGATGAATTAACGGTCGCAATTGCTGTACACTTGCTCTTTCGAGTCTTCCGGCTAAATTGATTCAAATGCCAAATTTGCCACATGCTGTTTCACGAAATGCTTGAACAGTACTCCAAGGGTGCGGTAGCTGGCGTCAACACCTTTTTGGGTTCAGCGGCGCCTTTATCGAGCCAGTCGTGCTGGCAAATCGTGCGAGACATGCTGAGTGGCCCTCGAGGTTGCATTAACATTTCTATGTCATTGATTCTGGTCCATGAGCAGGTGTCTGCAAGGGATTGTCGTCATTCCCATGCTCCACGAAGAGCACCAGTATTTCTTGGAGAGCTGACGCACACCGAATACACGGACACCATAGCGGAAGCCGGATTGGGCTTGTTGTAAACTTGTTGTAGCTGAGCCAAGCTGAACCGATGCCGGTAACTTCCTGGGTTGCCATCTCCAGGTCAGTGGGCCGGGTTGTGCGAGTCATCCGCCTCGTCCGCATCGTAAAGTTGTACAAGGCTGTAGCATGCCATGCAGTGGGCATCTTATGGATCGGCCTCGATGCCGTTTGAGGCGGCCTATGAACGGATTATGGCCGAGGCCGCGAAAAACAGCGCTAGCTCGTCTGAGGCTGAGACGGCACGAGATGGCTGCCTGTTGCAGCAGATTCAGTTTGAGTTCCCAACTGTTTGCTTTATTTTGCCACTTGGACCTTGGGAAAGAGCGACGAGCCGGAACCTGACTAGAAGCCCCGGGCAACATGAGATCCGAATGGAATCAGCATGAACTGCCAAAGCGCTTCGCCGCCAACGAGTTCCCAAATCCATAAGAACACCATAGACACCACTCTGCTTCTCAGTCTCAGGCCGGGTGAAGAGACAATCGCCTCAGCCCGAGACAGAGTCTTGAAGCGCCCCGAACGGCATCAAGACAGCTTGGGGGCCTATGCACCCACTCAGACAGCAGGATGACTGGGACAACCCGGACTACGATGACCAGGAGCAGCGGAAGGCGTGTTCATCCGGTCTTATCTGCAATGCCCGCTTCAACATGCTATGCTGCCATGCTACAATTTCAAAAATACTTCGGATCTGTGCAATTGCACCGGGTGGTTCTCGTGTCGCAAACTATGGTGCAAAAAACTGCCTCAGGGCCAGCGCAAGAGCCCAAGTGCAAGATCGCAAAGAGAGCGAGGCCAACGGAAGGGACCCTTTTGTCGACATGCTCAGGCGAGAGTGCCGTTGGCAAAAAGCTTGTTGCACTCACCACACGGCGAGTGATCATATTGGCCCACGGCTCGGTGACCAGCTCGCCAAGCTTGCAGTTAGTCGGCTTGGCTTGAGGTGCTGGTGATGCTCATGTGTATGCCAGTGCCCGGCTTGGCCTCGCTTGGCCTCGCTGCCTCGCTCGGCCCCCCATCACGCGATGGATCGGCGAATCTCAGGTCTTCGTTGTGAGCAACTCGCACGGTGACCTGCCACTGTCTCGACTGTCTCGACTCCTGCCCACTGCGCATTTTTTCACCGGGTACGTTCGCTCAGGACGTCCGCTGCATTCGGAGCCAGCAGCGTTTTCGACAACTACAGGCCAGTCGCTCGCCCGTGCTCGAGTGCACGACAAAAGCAAATCACGTCATCTGACAATGTCGGATGTTACATGCTGAGGAGAAGTGGGAGGGAGCGAATGTCGGCAAGTAGGTGTTGTTTCAAGAGCAATCAAGAGCAGAAGCCCCACTGGCACCTGCAGGCGAGGTTTACCAAGTTCTCTGCTGGACGGAAGATATTGCAGTGAACACATTTTGCAAGACTTCGGCCCAGTAAGTAAGTAGGTTCCCACAGTCACAGCAAGTGCCTTTGTTGTGTTGGGGGCGCACTGTTGAGGTACGGCTACCAGTTGATTTTTTGAACGAGTTTGCAACAATGATCGGATGCCTACGACATGTCGAAGCCTGCAGCCGAGCCGAGCCATGATAGTGCCACAAGTCCCGTGGTGGAAGGCACATGAAGGAAGGCATCGCGAACCGATCTCTGTATGAAGAATCCATCCTCAAGCAGTCGCCTCAGAGAATTCGTCGAGTGCCAGAGTCTGCACAAGAAGCTCCGCCGCCGGGATGCTCTACATCGCTACGACCACAGGTAGCAGCATCACAACACCTTCCACATTTTGTAAAATGAAACATGCCGACCTGGAATTCACATTGTGCTACAATGGCCGGGACGACTGCAACGGGTCGCAAATGTTCTTTCGGACACATGCACAGCAACAGCAGCATGAGCAGCTTTCTGCTCCAGCCGAGGGTCAGGGGCAAGAGCCAGCATGTCATAGCATGTCAGACACATTTCTGCTCGAGGTATTTCTACTACCATAACTGGTCCGGATGTCAGCATGTCTTTCTTTTCTTTGCAAGCGCTTTCAAGCAAGGGGGAATGACCACTTTCATTGATATACGAGGTTTGCAGGCCGTGCGGGCTGTGATGGAGACTCCTTCTGTCCCGCAGTTTTTCTCAGCCATGTTTTTTGGGTCGGGCCCCTGCAAGCGTCATCACTGGCTTGTTGCAGCCATGTTGTTCTTCGACTTTGAGGTTGGGTTCGCTGGCCGCGGCAAGACGTACGATGAACTTCGGAACTACACCGCAGAGGTTGGGCAGCGCTGACCTTACCTTTCCTTGCGCTCCGCCATCACAGGCCAGGCTGCAGAAAGACGTCGTGGTCGCGTGGGATGCAGCCGTGGCAAAACAAGATCTCAATTATGCAGCATCCTCGGTTGGGAGGCGTGAGCGCGTCCGCCCGCATCCTTCGGGAAAGCACGTGCTAAAGCGCGCTTTTCTGGGTGCTTCTTGGGAGTTAGGGGTTTCAAGCATCTTCAAACAAAAAAACATGCTCCGCATGCCCGGTGTGCCGCGTCTGGATCTGGCATCAGCCCAACTGCCGGATAGAGCCTGACGCCTGCAGATACATGTTTCGTTGGGTTGACGGATTGTTCACTGCATCTTTCCTGCCCTGCACTAAGGTCTATGTTATGGGGAGCTTACCAGCACAGGCCGATCCTTGAAGACAGCAAAAATATCCAAGAGTAAAGATGACAGTCTCCGACGGAAGGCACAAGACTTGCTCAGCTCTGACTGGGACATCGAGTGTCAGGCTGGTCTCTCGTTTTCCAAGTGCCCAAGCGTCCGTGTCAAGCCGCCGTCCTGCGCTTCTTGTGCTTGCGACCGCTTGCGAAGTCTTGCGATTGCAGTTTGGTGGTTGGAACCACCTCGGTCAGTCCTTGCTCTCCACATTGCTGGAGGACGTGAGGGCTGAAGGGGGATGATAGCACACGGAGAGGAGATCTTCAGCGTTCGCGCTGTGTAAGACACAAGACATTGCACAACAACAGTTTACGAGTTCTCGTATTCTGTTTATCCCGCGAGCATCGCAAGCAAGTCGTCTCCGCAGTCGTTTCGACTTAAGCGTGTCCGGTCCGTTCCTGGGAAGGCTGTTTCATCCTGTTTTGGGTTTGTTCCCTTTTCCGGGCCTTTCGTCCGGCCTTGGCTCCGCTTTATAGCGACCAAGGTTCTCCTCCGCATGTCAGCCCGGACAAGTGGACTCCTTCGCTCCAACCAATCATCTGACCGCCGCGTTGCTAGAGACACAGGACATGCTAGCTGCACGCCCGGTTGTTCTCTGGTTTCGATTCGGAACAGCGAGGTAAAGTGCCTGGCTGATATTCCTGCCCAGTTTGCGGGCGAGCGCTGGGTCTGGATTTCCGTCCACGTGCCCCCGGAATCTGACCGAAAATTCTCGAAGGAGCCCCCTGCGGTCCTGGACTTTTGGAGCTCTTGCCTCTCCGGTGATTTGCCTATTCTTTTTTACTGCCAATCGCACCGCTCCTGAGCTGTGAGGCGTTTGCCGATGCTTGTGCCGACTCCCGTTTTCCCCCTCGTCTGGTCGCACGGCCTGGTTTCGAGCCACCTTTTCCTCGGATGCACTCGGTGACTGGTTTCCTGGTTTATCGCGGAATCGCCCCCTCAGAAGTTTAACGCGGCCTGGGGGCTTTTGGGTTGGCTAGCGCGTTTATGGAGCGTTGCACTCCTGATGCCTGATGCTCATCATCCGGTCCGTTTTGTCAGCCGGTGTGATAACAGTCCGTCCGATTCCGACTCTTGGAAGGGCCTTTCCAGAGCCAAGGGTCTTCGCCAGCTGCTGGAGATTTATTTCCGCTGGCAACGTCACTTCTGCATCTCGTCCTACATTGATCACGTCCCGGGTTTCCCTAGCTTTACAGCAGATGGCCTCAGTCGTGATCGTGACCCGGTGTTTCTGGGACTTAATCCATCGGATGAGATTACGATACCCTGAAAATTGTTTTCTTGCCCGCCTCGTCTTACCATCCGTCCGAACCACGTTCAAGCATACTTTTCCGGCTCTGGACTTGCGAATTTTGGCCGGGTGCTCTCCCAGTGCACGGGCACTCCATCGCATCAGGCAGGCTTCGGTGTCTACCTTAGGCCGTGCACCCAGCATAGTTCCCGGAGTCCGGTTTCCACCCAGGTCTCCTAAATCGGTCCGTAGCTCGAATTTACGGATGACTCGGCCTGCACTGGCCCGATGAGTCCTAATCCGGAGCTACGGAAAAAGAGTGCGTCCGCTGCTGCTTTTGTTTCCGCATCAACCTCACCGGACGTAATGTGCTCGCGGATGAACAGTGTAGTAACTTCAGTGAGGGCCAGGAGAGGAGGCAAAGCTTGCAAAAGCGCTGGAAGTCTGCACAGGGCTTGAGACGGTGTTTGACGTTCAAGTACGTGTTACCGGGAATTTCAAAACCAATGTCATTCAATGATCTGCATGTGACGAGGCTGTGGAAACCGGTCAGATGTTGTAGAGAGAACTGACATAACCCATCACAGGACACAGTTTCCTATGCGGTGAGGCGCGGGCTTAGAGCATTTTCCTAGGCCTCGTGGAGTCAACGCGCGCAGGTGCCCTCAGGACCTTCGGCCTCAAGAGCGGTTCAGAATCCAACCTTCTTTGCTCACAGAGCCGCTTGGATGACACGATGCCCGAACGGACCGGACCGCTTTTTTTTCATCGCAAGGCAAGAATTTGATGATTGGCATCTGGCCTTCTTCTTTGATGCACGGTCGCCTGCTGAGCAGCAATGTTCCTACTATGCAGGACTGCAGGACAGTTACGGTTCGATGCAATCGAGCCTTCAATGTATTTCCAGCCTTGCAAAGAATTTTTCTTTTGGGTAGGCATGCCATAAGCAGCATGCCAAGACAGCCAAGTGCTCTTGGATGAATCGTCGAAGCGTGTGCCACCCTTGTTGACGTTGTGACACTGCTTCACCCATGATTTAGCCATTGAAGAGCCCCGCTGGCAAAGTCTGGAGTTTAGGCGGACATAATTCCGGGTCTTGCGAGGCCATATGTGAGAGTCGAGTCGCAGAACAACATGATGCTGACGGCCAGCCTCTCAGCTCTGTGTGTATTGCATGCTGCCATGAATAGCGGTGCTGTTGCTCTTAGGGCTTCATCTGCTTGGTGCTCTGCGTGGCGTCCCTTCAGTTTTCCAAGGTGCTGTCGCCATGTTTGTTGCCAGAAGTAGGTTTGCGACCATTAGCGATCAATTCCTGCCTTTTGCTGGTGCACATGATGGCTAGCCAAAATCTTTGACGATGTGTGACGACACTTCTGGTGATGCGGCTCGTTCTGTACACGCAGTGTACAGGCAGGCGTTATATTGCATATGTATATATACATATATACATGTATACACACCTATACACATGCACATACGCATATGCATATGTACATACATATACACGTACACACGTACGTACATACATGCATGCATGCATACATATACACAAACACAGACGTGCAAGCACGCACACACACACAGACACACACACACACACGCATACTTACACGCACGCATACCTACACACATACTTATACACACACACACACACACACACACACACACACACACACACACACTCATACACATATATATATATATATATATATATATAGATATGTGGTACCCCCCCTCATGGATTTACCCTTTTCGTGTGTTTGGGAGCCCCACCGCACGACAATGGTGGACCCTTGAGGGGAGGGGCTAGCCGATGGACCATTTTCAGGTTTAGGTGAACTCCACCCTGGCCCGATTGAGTTCAATCGCGGCCGATTGAGCTCAATCGGGGGCCGGATTGAAGATTGAACTTTTCCTGGAAAAGTTTCCCCGGGAATCTTCAATCAGCAATCCGGGCAGCGATTGAGTTCAATCGGGGCGACTTGAGTGCAATCGCGGTTCATCGTTCATCCCAAGTGAGCAAATTATTCTACAAGGCATTCTACGGTGCATTCCAAAGGTATTCTACAGGGTATTCTAAAGGGTTCTCTTTACGGTTTTCTACGCGGTACTCAGAGGGTATCAGATGCAGGGTGTATGCTGTAAAGAAGTGTATAGGGCTGTACTGGGCATATAGCAGGGATACTATATACAGCAGTACGCTCCTGATGTTCCCCGCATTAATCCGTTATCTTTAAAATATTCCATGAGGCATTCTATGGTGTATTCTACGGGTATTTGACAGGATAGTCTAGAAGTTGTTCGTTAAGTCTTTCTATGGGGTACTCAGAGGGTATCAGACACAGGGCATATTCTGGAAGTTAGTCTGTAGGGTATTGCAGATGGTATGCTGTAAGGCCTATAAAGGGCATATTACGTAACATGGGGAATTCCGTACGGCGTTGTACAAGGGACTGTACCAGGCAAAAACATAAACGAGAAAGGATATTCTATAATTAATGTATCACCTAGGGTCACCTATAGGAAAATCGCTAAGGTGTGTAGAAGGAATAGTTTGTAAGGTATTCCCTAGATTATTATCCTAGAAATCCCTTACCCAATAAGCTACTTTTTTGAGGGTTTCTTAGATCTTGGGCTCGTCCTGATTGTCCTCAAAGAAAATGTATATGTATATTCTTTGTTTGAAAGGTTATCTATAGGGTATTATATAGTCCATAAGGTATTTTGAAGGGTATTCTATGTGGCATTCGAAATCTAGTTGGGTATTCTGTATGAAAGTTTTCAAGGAAGAAGAGGGATGCATTCTAAAGGATATTTTAAGGTGTTCTACATTATGTATTGTATAAGGTGTCCTAAAGGGTATATGTAACATCAGGCGTGCGGGGTGTATCATATATAGGTGGTCTTGTATAAGGAAGGTATTTGATCGGATATTCCAGATGGATGTCTGTAAAGTATATATGGGTTATGAGAGCGTAATTATACAATGTATTCTAAAAGGTATTCGAAAGGGTTTGCTACTGGCTAAATACAAGTTATTGCAGAAGGTACTCTAAGGGATATGTATAGGGGATATTCTATAACGTATTCCGTTCTGTTTAGAAGTCCCTCACTAGTAAAAGTTCGAGTTGATCAGGGACTTCGCAGATCCTAGATTCTGCATTTCCTTCATATACAGCACTGAGCTTTCCCACACGGCATGCATGCGCGTACGACTTCTTCTCGTGTTGCAAAAGAACGCATGTATGTTCTGTGTACATATACCTGAGTAGGTTTTTACAGGCAGCAGTATGGGCTCTGAAGGCAACACGCAACAGGAGAGCACAGATATGTCATCTCACATAACCTGGTATAAATTTCACAACTCCGATAAGACGCATCGAGATTGTAGATAATGTCCATGAACATGAAATTTCCCATCTGGATCTCAAACAACGAAAACGGTAGATCCTTGAGGGGGGGTAGCATATATATATATATATATATATATATATATATATAATCAATGTAGATACGTGGTCCACACATACATGTTCACATTCATGCATGCATGCATTCATGTGTGTATATACACAGTCATATGCATAGAGATACCCCCTAGCAGCCAAATGCATCCACATCATCCCCTTCCACGACCTCCATGTCTGCATGCATGAACTGCTGCACGAATCTTAGGCACGTGACTGAAGTTAAACGTCCAGACGCGGCAGTGTGAGCGCCGCAGTGGTAGAAGGCGGCCTCGGTCGGAAGATGTGCGGGTGGAAGAGAAACTGGGTGGTGGAGAAAAGCTTGCAGAAGGGTGACCTCAGCAGAGTCGCGGCATGTCACGGCGAAGGCTGGACGAATGTCACAACTCACACAAGGCGGTCACCAATTCGCAGCGCTTCTCTACGACAGTTGTAAAGCTCTGGCCCTGGATGCATGCGGAAGCTGGTGTTTACGCTGTTTGCACGTCATTTCTTCGGGCCTTCCTTGTAACGGCATCTTTGTATGGTGAACCGACTGTTTCATTTTCTTGTTAACAGTTTTTTCCCGCTGCGGTCGTACACTTGGAAGTTTTGGTCTAAGGGTCCAGGGTCCTGGGGGTATTTTGGGTTCACCGGTGTTGACCGTGTCTCTTCCTACAGTACGGTTTTGGGCTTTGGTATAGGGGTTCGGGGTTGGGTCTAGAGCCTAGGGCTGCTGGATTTCGGGCCTACTCAGGGTGTACGGTGTGGCAATGAGGGCTTAGGTGTCAGGGGGCTTGGCTTTTGGGAGGCTTTGGGGGTTTGGGCCTTAAGATCAACGATGGGATGAGTTAGGCATGGGGTTTGGGGATCTATGGTTTTAGCAATACAGGGTTACTCGGTTCAGCATGTCGGGTTTGGGGCTTAGCACTGTAGGTGTGTTGTGGTGGCGCCCAAGTTCAGGCACTCTCCCAATCTCAGCCTTGGCGGGTCAAGTTTAGTGCTCTTAGGGATTTTGCTTGCAGGCGCCCCAATCGATGCAAGAATCTCGTGAGACGCCCAAAGCACAGGGTCTGAGCCCAACTCATGAAACCTGTAGATAGACCACGAGGCGAGGTCTCGAAGCGGAACCCCGTTCAAAATCTACGTTTTCACAAAATGGCCTTGTCAATAGAAAGTATAGAAACTGTGCAGACACTCGCGCTCCAAGTCAAGTCCCTTTCGGGAAAGGGCCCTTGCGAGGCAGGATGTTTGATTTTGAGCCAACTTCAAAGCTATCGGGAACCCCTTCACACAAACCGTCCGGAAAGGCGCCCATTATGGGAAGGGAAGGCGCTTGCGGCAAGGGCCCCTTTTGGCAGGCACCTCATTTACTGGAAAGGCCCCATTGTTGGAAGAGTTCCTTGCAGAAAGAAAGGGACCCTGCCGGAAGCGCACCCTTATGGGAAGGTTTCACTTGCGGTATGAGGGGTGCTTGCACCCACCCTTGAAGGATACGGTTCTTACGGAAAGATTCCCCTGCGCCTAGGTCCGGGTTTCAAGCGGCCCCACGGGAAAGCGTTTTGTCGCGGAGGGTTGTTTGTGGTGAGGGTTTTCTGACTGGAAGCTTATGGAAGCCCCCCCTTGCGGGACAGGCTCCCTTGCACCAGGGCAAGCTACCGGCAGCCAAACCCAAAGTCTTGAGAGGCCCGTGGCTAGCTGGCATCGTTTGGGCAAGTTTAGGCCTCTCCAGAGCCCAACAGCATCCAAAAGCCAAAGAAGTTCGCCGTCACGGAAAAGACCACTTGCTGCCCTCACGGGAAAGGCTCGTACCCGGAACCCTGTATAGAGAAGCCAAGGGCCCACACATGCATTTTCCACGTTTTGGGAAAGGCTCCCCTGTACGAGTAGGGATGAGAACTAGGGTTTGCGGCTTTTCGGGTTTGGGAGCTTTAGAAATTCGGGCTTGGGCCCACGGCATAAGGCTGGGGGTGTTTGGGGTTCGGGGTGCCGCATTGCTTAGGGCTTAGGGCTTGGAGGCCAAGCAATGCAAAGTTTCAGCCTTGCGGGGCTTGAAGCAACGGACAAGAAACTCACAACAAAGAAGCACAATTAACCCAAAACCAAACACGAATTGACGAAGAGATCACAAGCTCTGGGATCGTTACAGAGACACAGTTGACACGAAAATGAAAGACACACCTAACAGCTTGCTACTTCTTCGGTGGATGCAGATTCGTGAATTTTTCTGGCGATGCAAAGTAAGAGAGCGAAGCCGACTAGTCCATATGTTGTGCAAAGTGGTTTAATGTTCGGAGTCTCAAGTTCTACGCATGGTGCCTCATGGTGCCATTCCACCCCGACACCAGCAAAGTTTCGCCAAAAAGCTCCTCATGGCACAATGCATTCGACCGACACCAACTCAAAAAGAAAATGCTAGTTGGGTTTGAAACTTGGAGTTGGAGTTGTAGACGTGTGGACACTGAAGGAATATGTGGATGTTACATGTCGCGACTGCGCAAATTGGAAAGTGTTGCTACTGTCACCCCTGCAAGGTGGCGCGAGTAAAGGTTGTTAGTGAAGGGAAGCGTCTGCGGAGCCGAGGGTCCGCGCATCTAAGAGACAGTTTCTGCTGCCAGACGAGCTTCAGGGCACGTTTCTTGACCGGGCATTGGCCAGGACGCAAACGTTCTGGTATTGCGCCCTGTGGAGCGCATGATCGAAAAGGCCCCTCAACGAGGGACCTTGATTGCCGGCATCATTCGGAGGGTAGCTCCGAGTTGCAGATAGGAGTGCCGTGCCAACAATGGCCTGAATTCCTTCTGGGGCGCTTGCCGAAAATTTGGGTGAGTATCGGGGTTGTCTCCGGAAGTCTTCGGCTTGCTGGCTTCACTGGAGCATGTTGCTTGCGCATGCTTGCGCTGCTGCGAGGTCAACCTGATTCGCGACAACCCGCTCGCGGCCATGAAGATGGCAGACGATGAGTTCAAGGCTTCATCCGGCAAGCACGACAACCCCTTGCTTGATCCCCTGTGGACCGTGACAGCTCAGGGCGAAGAAATTAAAAAGTTCAAGGCCAATACCACAAGGCTGCACGGGACTGTCTGCTGGGCGCTCGCGTTCTCATGTGTCACTTTCGGCACTGTCGCGCAGAGAGTTTCACCATGCTGCACCCACGATATGTGAACGCCGACAGGGAGAAGCGAAGTATCTGGCTGGAGAAGTACCACTTGTCTTGCTTGTGTCCTCGGCATGTTGCTTTAGCCACAGCATTTGTTGTTTGGATCAGGTAGTCCTTATGTGCAGCTTCATCAGCGCTGCCTCCGAAGCAAGATTAGTGCTGCAATGCGTTTCTGCAAGGCATTGGGTAGCTCCCGCAACCGTAAATCCCACACTGTCACTAGCCATTGAGACTCGTGTGCACCTGATCGTTCAGGATAAGCTGAGTACACGTGCACGTAGTCTTGTGACGCATGCTACCAACGCCGCGTCCAGGTCTCGAATTCTCAACTGGTTCTCGACAGGCCGGGCCGTTTTCATAGTAGCATCTGTGCAGCACACCTATACATAGGCTGACGAAAACTCTACTCCAGACAGGTGGCTCGTGGGTTTAATACAGCTTGGAATGCACAGCCTAACGTCAGGAAGCACCTCTGGAGACGATGCGTGAGAAGCTTAGACTGTCCTCGTGTGCGCGGTCTAACTCTGACCCTGTCTGTTGAATCCGGTTTGTCCTGCCCCTGTCTACCCTTGTTTGCATCGAAGGTGACAGGGGTTTTGTCTGCAGGCAGTAAGCTCCGTTTCCTAAGATCTATTTATCGAATCGTTGCAGAGCTGCAGTCGTTTCTGCCTGACAAGGCTTGTCATTGTAAGTCTTGCGAATTCAGCGCTTCCAGAGCAAAGATCGGCATAGGCCATACTGTAGGTGGCGTCCATCTGCGGCAGCAAATTCAGTTGACCGAACGTAAGTGTAATCCTTTGGAAACCTTTGGGCAGAGCTCAGGATGATGGAGACCGCAGTGCTCGAGAAGACGATTATCAAGCCCCTTTGCTGCAGTTGGCGCGCTTCGTGCAGCTAGGGTGCGCCAATCTCACAACAATATGTTCTAGTTCCGGCTCGAAGCCACAAGACTTTGCTTTAAAGGCCTCATTCCTGTCATACTGTGTAGCAGAACTTGCTACCGAGGCTTGGCTCCCTGCTCGCACTGGGCTTTGGAGAGGTCGCTCTGTCTGCAAATTGAGCGACACTCTGGTGATTATCCGATTGGTGCAGGCCGGCGCCAGCATTGTGGCTGACAACATGCAGGGCCTCGACTCCGCAGGCGTGAATGCAATGGTCCCGGGCTGCAGACTCAGCCTCGTCAAGCTAAGCCGTGGGTGCTTGAAAACATTGCAAAGCCACAGGCAGTCGTGTGGATTGCATCATCGGGTCAGCCTCCATCCGCGACTTCAGCACGGCCACGGAGGTTCTGCAGGGCAAGGCCTGGTGTCGACGAAATTCTTGCAGAGTCCTACAGATATTGAGATAAGCTCAACTTCACAATGAAACCCGATTAGCAAACCTTTTTTTAACCCGCGACTGACTGCTGCCCGGCTCTTGGCTTGCTGCCCAGCTGGCGTTTGATCGCGAGCACCCATCGCTGTATGGATCGCACTCAAACTTTGTCGCTCCGGTCTCCAGACATGTCAGCTCATGTGATAGCCTTGTCAGCCAAAACCTACAAGAGCATTTTGGCACCGATAGCGCAAACACAAAAATGGCACCGTTCACGGCACTCTGTCTGTGTGTCTGTCTGTCTGTGTGTGTGTGTTGTGTGTGTGTGTGTGTGTGTTTGTGTGTGTGTGTGTGTTTAGTGTGTGTTTGTGTGTTTGTGTGTTTGTGTGTGTGTGTGTGTGTGTGTGTTTGCGTGTGCGTGTGTTTGTGTGTGTGTTTGTGTGTGTGTGTGTGGGTGTGTGGGTGTGTGGATGTGTGTGGGTGTGGGTGTGGGTGTGTGTGTGTGTGTTTGTGTGTTTGTCTGTGTGTGTGTGTGTGTCTGTGTGTGTGTGTAGGTGTGTAGGCGTGTGTGTGTGTGTAGGTGTGGGTGTGTGTGTGTGTGTAGGTGTGCAGGTGTGTAGGTGTAGGTGTGGGTGTGGGTGTGTGTGTGTGTGTGTGTGTGTGTGTGTGTGTGTGTGCGTGTGTGCGTGTGGGTGTGCGCGTGGGTGTGGGTGTGCGCGTGGGTGCGCGTGCTTGGGTGTGCGCGTGGGTGTGTGAGTGCGCGTGTTTCTGTGTGTGTGTGTGTGTGTGTGTGTTTCTGTGTGTGTGTGTGTGTGTTTCTGTGTGTGTGTGGGTGTGTGTGTGTGTGTGTGTGTGTTTGTGTGTTTGTCTGTGTGTGTGTGTGTGTGTCTGTGTGTGTGTGTGTAGGTGTGCGTGTGTGTGTGTGTGCGTGCGTCACAGCCCGTCTTGATGTGAAGCCGAAGACTTTGCGACATGCATGTACCGTCGTACGTCCATTCGTGATTCGAGGTCATGACGTTCGTCAACCAGATTGCGGAGATCGCCCGCACCAGAGAAGATTATTTGCTGCGCAACCATTTTTGCTCAGAGCCCTGCTATGGCCATGACAGTCTACGGCAAGGTTCACGGCCTCGTTTGCGAGTTCCATGGCGCTCCCAACAAGAACAGTGGTGCCCTACCGAGACAGCTTGGGCTCTGTCAATCGGACTTTGCAGCATATATAGCAGCTTGCGACCTGCGGTTGTGCCACTACGGGCTGCGAGACGCAATGAGGTGATCGCTTCCTCCTAATCTGGCGACTTGGAGGCTTGGAATATGCTTAGAGTTGAAGCATGTGGGTCATGGCTTGAAGCGGTACCATCTGTCTGTACGCTGGATTTACGGCAGCCTAACCGCCAAAGACTGCAGGCAGGGCATGCCAGAGCCAGAAGATTCAACAGACGCGCTGAGTTCAGACATGCAGTCGAGAGACATCAGATTTCTGGGCTCGGACAGGATCCAGTTACAGTTTCTGTTGAGGACACTGGGAGAGCACATGAGAGTACTGTACTAAGACGTGAGAGACGACCCAAAGCTTCGGAGGAAACGTGACGCGCGATCTCAGGCTTGCGAAAAATTGGTCTTTTCTGGGACAGAATTGTAATTGGAGTGAGCGGCGCAGAAGTCTTGCGAAGGTGACAGTGTAAACTTCTGCGGCAACAGCATCATTCGCGTACAGGGGAAACGGTTCAAGGCATGGAGGAGAGATCCTGAAGCATTGTCTTGGCGAATTCCCGCAGCGTGAACCTTCCGTATCTCGAACTCGGAGTTTTTGGAAGGATGCCGGAATTAACCAGTTTACGAGTCCGAACCTGCAGATCACGCGTGCCGGCTCACAAGTCGTCCTGCGCACTATGGGCACCCCACTGCAGCGTCAGCGCTATGGCCGCGGTGCCCTCAAGAGAGTTAACCGCATCCTGGCCTTGATTCCGACCAAACCGCCTTGCGGGCATTTAAAGCTTGTCTCGGTGAGCCTGGCATGCATCACGAAGGCTAGCAGGTCACTAGGGTGGGCCGCGACAGGGGGCCAATCCTCGCGGTGTGGAGGGGCACGGCAGCTTTGAGCTGTCCTAGATGCCGATCGAGACATGATCATGGACAGTCAATGCTTATATACATATGAGCCTTGACCTAAAGGTCCATGTCTTTGGTTTTGCATGACAGAGTTTTCAGAACCGCACTAATCTGCGGTTTTGTGTGAGACTTGGGGCACATAAGACCCGCAGGGAGCTTGCCGTCATTCTGCAGCCCTGCGAGCCCCAATGTAATTGCAATTGTATGCCCAGGCTCAGCATCAGAATGTCAGCTCTGCGAAAACCATAGAAGGTTTTGTGCGAAAGATCCGCGACGGTGGCAGCGAAATGCTGCGAAAGACGGACCGAGTTTTCAAGGCCATGGCCAACGACTTGGAGTCGCGCTTCGCGACCTCGTGCTTTACCCGAACCCCTTTCAAACCTTCAAACAGCAATTCCAAACGCCACCAACCCTGAAACCTCCAGACCATTCCAGCCTCACATCCAAACTCTAAAGCCAATTACACCACTACCACGACCACCACCACCACCGCCACAGCTATTGCCATGACGACGACGCGACGATAACCACTAGCACTATGCCCAATAGGACTTACTGCCACTAGAGCTACATGTGCTATTGTCGCTGCTACTGCTTCTTTTCTTGCTACTACATCCCAGCAGCTATTTGTACGAGACATCAGCCGGTTGAGCGTTCATGCAAAGATTGCTAGTAATATTGATTGATGCCCGGCAAACGGAGCCGAATGCTCAACAGAACTTGCATATACCGACATCGAATGTGGTTGTAGGGCTTGCAGAAGCCGGCTGAGATCTGGCAGCACTCGGAAGGATTAGAGTCATTAGAGTTACAACTTTTCTCGAGCAGAATGACGGCGCGCATTGTTAAAGATGATGTCAGCGACCACATATGGTACACCAGCCTCCCCCGCTTTTGTAGCTTTGCTGGGCATCGCGGGCTTCGTGTCGGACCGTACTTATCTGTCCTTGCTTGCTACTGCAGACGAAAAGCAGACGCGGCTCGCCGACATGGCAGTGGTGTCATGTGTCAGGACCGCATCCAGAGTTAGGGTAAATCTCTTGCTTGGCAAAGGATCAGCACACGCCTGTCGATTGTTGTGTTTGCAGGGCCTGTAAGCTCTTTGAGTTGTCCTGCAACTTCGGAAGCCGGCGGCAGGATTTTGGGCTGCACCCACAGCAACAAAACCTTGGCAGAATACCGTGGGCATCCTGGTCTTGGCCTGAGTTCTGCAAGCGCCTCTGGCCCATCTCCAGCTCCACAAATCAGTGCGGGCCAAGTGTGATGCTACTGGTAGCTTACATGTCTCCACGATACGATCCCCAGTAGGGAACGGCAGTGGTCCCACTTCCTTTTGTGTCAGAGTCCATGTTCAAAAGTCGCATCTGACAATCACTGTTCAAACCTGGCATCCGACTTCCATCCGTTTAATTCGGAGAAATCTGGCACTCGGGATTCGGGACGACTTTGTTTTGTGTTGTTCGCGCACACACACACACGATCAGGTCACACTGATCGTGACTCTGAGCTCAGCGTAGCCAGCGGACATCAGTAGGCAGAATTATCTTCTGCCGGCCAGATTCTAACACCTCGGGATGACGTCACAAAGGCACAGCTCGTACAGTTGTTTCTATGGAGTCGACAATGTGGTGAAATAAGAAGGGATTTGTTGGATCGAGGGTTTCGGCGAACCCCTGTGCAGATGTGGGCTTGGGCTGGCATAGCCCAGCCCCAGAGGCGGAATTCAACAGCTTTTTCTAGCGGCTTGGGCTCGCGGCTTTCAGTTTCTGCTTGGAGGTTTAGGGTCGCAGCGTCGCTTTGAACAACCCTTTTGCAAAGTCGAACTATCCCCGGTCCGGTGCATCGTGTGCTCCACGGCTGCATCCAGACCAACTTCCTACGCCTCAGTTTTTTGCTAACTGAGGTCTTATCCAAAGACTTGGAGCTCACTGCAGAGTGAACTTGAGCTTTGGTCTTCACCGCGGCTGGGCGATCGAGGCATGGCGTCGTAAAGTGCTGACTAGTGACTAGGTGCGACTAGAACAACTCATATCGCGTGCCTGAAGATGTTTGAAGCATCAGTGCTGTGGATTTATCAGGCAGCTGCAGGGGGATGCACAGCGTGGCAGTAAGTCATATCAAGTCGATTAAACTTTCAATGCTCGTACTGCACCTGAACATGGAGGCGGGTGGCTGGGCGACAGTGCGTTTGGACAGGGCGGCAGACAGCAGTACGGCAGGAGCATCAGCAGAACGAGAAGTAATGATAGCATCATACTTGCAGTAGTCGTTTTTGTGGTGGTGGCACTCGTAGTTGAGCTGCAGCAGTTTGCAGTAGCAGCAAAAGTTGTAAGTCTTGTCTTAATTTCAGGGTTCAGTACGGTAGCATTACACAACCTTCTTGGTTCTTCCGATAAGACTGCTGGGATAAACTAGGCGAGCCCGGCGGTTCCACGGCTGCCGCTGTGACGACGTGACGGTGCTCATCTTGAACAACATATGTGTTCTTTCCAAACCACGATGCGCCGCATCCGTTGAGGACATCGAGTGCGTTGTGCAATCACGAAATTGGCGGTGCCACTGGGGTAGGAATCGTGCTCCGCCATACGTGGCGAACGCAGCAGTGCCACGCTATTCGGTTCCTCGGGTCTAAGACTTCTTGTGGTCTGAAGAATTTTTACGCTCTACTTTTCCAAAGTTAGTAAGCGGCAACCATTTTCCCGCCGCTGTATAGACCGTGCTGATGCAAGACAATTCGTGTTTCCGTCACCGGAAACGGGCCTGTGCATCTTCACGGTCACATTGCGGCGCGGGGACTGACGGGTTGCTCCTTGGAGCCTGTATGTGGCTATGTGACGCCTGGAGCTGCGCTTGGGCTTTGTTAGGGCTTGGACTGCTACAAGCTACAAGCCAGAAAGTATTGCTTCACAGTTTCGGGATGTTTCGGATTTAGGAGAGCAAAGAACAAGTCGAAATGAAACACTCGGAGCGAACTTTGGAGGCATTTGCCCCTTGGAACACGAGCGGTTTCATTGCCGACGGTCAGTGTCACAGAAACCTTCGAGACCTCAGCATGCTAGCTGATTTTCAAAGATAAGATCAGGTCTTAGTCTTCACTTCCTTGCACTCTCTCCCTGAGCTCCGCAGGGCGCTGTCGGAAGCGAGTTCAAGATTGATGCGTCGACCCCTTGGCTGTCTCACGTTTTCTTTGAGCCGTGTTTGACTTTCCTGTTTGCTGTTGGCCCAGCCAGTGTTTGCTTCGGACTCCAGCAGTTTAGCCATCTTTGCCACGGATGCTTCCGCCGTTGCCGTTGCACGCACAGTCTCTGGAGATTACTGCACTCGCAGCCGGAGCGATATGGAGCGCTAAAAGCACAGAGGGAGCGACGGAAGCTTCAGCTGTAGGTGATTGCAGGTGTTTGAAGCTGTGGGTGATGGTGTTCCGTTGTGTCATGTTGCAGCGCGCACATGCGCGCTGGGCCGGGGATCGAGTGGGGAAGGCACGCCAGTCACCGCTAGAGTGCTAGACACTGCTAGAGTACGCCAGGTTTCGGTTAGTTATAATTGCAGTGCGTTCCCTTTGTTTTCATTCTGCTGCAGCTGTGAGGTCGTACCTTTCACCGAATGTGAGCATTGCAGAGAGTTTGGAACTCGCCACGAAGGCAAACTCGGTCCGTTGTGTCCTGAAGTCCTGAAATCATGCTGACTGTATCGTGGAGGGTGGAAGTTTCCCTTTCACATCAGGTGTACCACGTCAGCATTCTGGCTTCGCAAGACTGCATTACGTCGTGCTCCAAGGTGCGAAGAAGTATCCTGCACTTTGCAAATGCAGTAGCTTTATGGGCTTTTTTGTTCTTGCCAGGACCTCATTCTTGTCTCCCCTCCCTTTCTGCCCTTCCCTCGCTCCACGCTTTTCCCGCCCTCCTTACGCCTCCCGCTCTCGCGCTCTCTCTCCCCTCCTTGCGTTGTCTCTGACAGGCATTAGCACGACAGTGCAGACTCATAGACAAGGCCGGGGTTGGTGTTGAGAAGCTCGTATATTTTTGACATGCTCTTGAGTGCCTCATGCAGCGTCATTGGAGCACTAGCATGCACCTCGGCAGGTCAACATGAAGGGGTCCAAAACTCCTCTGAGCCTGTATGTGTACGATGTGGCCGCCGCCTGAGATGATTGCCTTGTTGCATCAGTCCGATGACGCGAGCTTCAGGAGACTGACCGAGTTCCGGTGCATGAGTACAGGCGGTAGCTGCAAGAAATTGCAGTGAGGGCTTCTCCTGTAGTTGTCACGATGTTGGACGCATTTGGATGTTCCTGCAGTACGGCGCTGGAGTGGAGTGTGCGGCAGCGCTTCAAAGCACGTCAGCTCTTCGAGGCACGGCGAGCCACTTGTGAGCAGCCACAGCATGCCACGGCTTGCCACGGCTACGGTATTGAAAGAGGTGGAGAAGTCAAAGAAATTGACGAGCGAAGTCAACGTTGTGAGCTTGGCATGTCTTGGAAGCGCCGGGCAAGACAAAATGAACCTTCCTGTGGCAGGTTGAAGACTTTATCAACGCTAGCGTTGATGTTAAAGCTATGCGAAAGCTCTACACCACTGAGTTCCTGCAGCTCTTCAACATGGGGTGACCGGCTTCCTACACGATTGCAGCGGGATTGTTTCGATGCCGATGTAAGCGCAAGTACGCAGATGCTCAATTCACTGGATAACGTGCAGCTGTGTCGTCGGTGGTCCCGTCCGTGGTTTACCATTTCGTTTGCTTGTCCGGTCGGTGTGGTCCGGTCGGTTGGCGATTCGTGGGGCGGTCGGTGGTGGCGGTGTGGTCTGGTCGGTGGCGGCCGATTGGTGGTCCGGTGCTGGGTGTTCCGTTTGGTGGTCCGTGGTGGGTCCATAGTTGCTCAGGTGACCAGCACACCCAAAGCAAACAGCGCGCACGAGCAAAGAAAATTGATCCGTTTCTATTGGAACTAAGCTGAATCAATTCATCCATGTACCACCAAGATGTGCCGCCAGGTACCAGAACTACTCAGAGGGTGAATGGCGTGTTGCCCGACGCCTGCTGAAGGTAACGATTTCGCAATATTGCACTGTCATCGGGACACTCCACATTGCCATGCAGGCAACACAGGACATGCTCGGTTTCCAGGAGCCGTGCCCTGCGACACCAAAGTCGCATGCCGACGGGTCGGGAACCCCCGACAGAATCTGGTGTACTTTGGAGGACGGCCCCAGCACGGCTCTGTTAGCGTTCATGGAGACACCTTACCAATTCGAGGCCAGGACTAATGTCCGCATTCAAACTCGCAAGGCCACAGATCCGGATAGCCACTGTCAATGTTTGTGCCTCAGGCTCCTCCCAAATGGACGGGTGTTCGAGACGTCCCTCTGTGCGGCCCTCTGGAACAGAAATCGGCTTGATGGTAAGCATGTTGGGTTTCCAAGCAGCCGAGTGCAATCTGACAGCGCTCTGATCAGGTGATGCTCGCGGTGACTGCCTTCACGGGTTCAAGACACTCCACACCGAGAAGTCGGCAGGGGTCATTGCACGGAAGCGCACCGAAGTTCGAGACAATGTCCAAAGACTGGATTGCATATTTGTGTGTACGTCATCAGTCGACCAGGCAAGTTCCACAAACCCCGCAACATCTTTGCGCTTTGAAAGACAAAGTTTCGCGAAGCGAAGTTTTTCTGTTTCACGTAGGCTTGGCGTCGAGAATTGTCTTTGTTGTTGTTGTTGTTTAGACAGATCGCATGCTAATGCCGGCTCCCAAGCCCAAAAATTGCCTACGCGTGGCCCCGTTGGTTGTCGAGCCCATGAACCTTGATGATCACATTTGCTGTGCTTGCTTATGTCTCGAGGTTATTGTACATGGGCGCATGCATGGGCCCGCATCCAATTAGCAAAACAGCGAACCTGAGCAAATCTTCTTCATCAGCATCTTAACGCAAGGCGAAGGACTGCCTGTCTGCAACTTGTCTGCGACCTCGTTGCATCTTAACTTCTGTTCATGGGCTTCTGAAAGACTCCATATCATTGGCATGAGTTCCGCATGCCTCCATTGCTGCCTTTGTGCCCAAAGCCATGGAAGCATTGCAGTTCGAAGCAGGCGCTTGTGCTGAATTGCAAGCCTTGGGTGGATGCCGCTGACACAGCCTGTGAACGGCATCTGTCTCCAGGCATGCAAGAGCTGCCTTGCCCCAACTGTCAGGCCGATTTTCGGTGCATATCCTAAAGGCATCGCCCGGCCAATAGAACTCTCCCGAGGCCGAGCTGCATGGCTTGGCGACCCGACCCTGAACAAGGACCTGAGCAGGGCTCCTGGGCTTTGCAGTTCTAGTTAAGACCTTCGTACAAGACTGTTCACGGGCACATTTGTCTGCAAGCCCGGTGCGGCGTGGTCTATGCGCTGAAGGCTTCTCCCAAAGTCTAGAAGTGGGAAGTGCCAAGTACATGTCGCATTTCTCGCGCAGTGGGTGGGATAGTTGCTTGGTGAGATCCATCCACGGCCTTTGTCCTGGCACGGAGAGCCACAAAAAAGCTCGCACCTTTTGTGTCCTTCCAACTGCTGCCCAACAAACGGTGCAAAGACTGTCCCAGCCTTCCCGAAGAAAGGACGATCGGAGAGCCTCCAGGCGAAGGGAGGCAAGAGACGGATGGAGAGTCAGCTGGGATAATTTGAACAAAGACAGCATCAGCATGGATTCCTCTCGATTCCCGGTGGGGGTGAGGCTGCCGGCCTTCTCGCGATTGCCGCTGCTGTATCGGTGCCTGCAGTTGCCCGTGGCAACCTTGCAATCCTTACACATACAGGGGTCATCCCGTGAGCTTATGTGCAATTGATCACATTGAAACATGTGCTCAGGCGCAGGGCCATTTGTCAGTTTTTTGTCTGATGTTTTGCCACAAGCCCAGTTGCAGCGGAGTGTTACACAACGCAGTGTGATTCTGCTCAATCATGACGTGACTCTGTCGACTGATTTCCACAGGCCCGTAAAGGAAGCTCAGCGCGCTTTTGCGAGAGCCGACTGGGAGATCCGAGATGGTGCTCGTGCATGATTGCGTACTACGATGGCTCTTGATGTGCGGGGCGAAGTACGGCTTTAGCAGGCGTGAACCGGGTCACGGAAGTCGTGGCCTCCCCCGTCAAACCGCCAGAGGCCAGCACGCTCAGCTTGGCCATGATTGGTGTGGCCTTGCATGTGGACGGCCAGGTGCCTGATGCCACTGGAGCTGAGGCAGCGGTCATGGCCGCAGGCCTTAGCCTTGGGCTGCAGAAGACTATTCCATCACGAGCTAAAGCATGCTAAAGCCGACAACCGACAGCCCGGTCGTTGCTCCATGCTTACGGCTTCTTCATTCTAGTATCTCTATGGTAGACTGTTTGTCAGTTTGTTTGCAGATAGCACTGGAAAAAATTCTGCAATCCCAATTGAATCTGCATTCAACTGCCAAAGGATTCCTCTAATCCACCCGGACAACGAAACATTCTTGCAACTGCGGCCAAAGGCTCACTCACGAGTGTCGCGCCATGTCGCGCCCGTGGACCAGCAAAGTACAATGTTGCTGCCTGACACTGCCTGATCCACCGAATCAGTATGCTGCAATGTGCGAACTCGCTGGCATAACCATCGAATGTTTCCGAGCACTTAGCGAGAATTGTGATGGCGACACTGGTCCAATGCAACCCTGTCCTGATGCCGCTTGACAGTGCGCTCGGCAGCCGCGATACTGACTCCCCCATCGATGACACAACTTGAAAGCAGCTAAGCTTGACATCGACGGTTAAAGAAGCTTCCCCCCCCCCCCCCCCCAATCCCCTTCCCACCCATCCCGCCCCATTTCCCCCCTCCGCCCCCCCCAGTCCGCTTTGACGGCAATGGAAGGAGCTCCTCAGATGACAGCTGTTGGCAGATACTCAGATAGCCTCATAAGCTTCTCATGCACGGCTCTGGTAACGACTGTTGGACTCGATGTTCAAGGCCATGCGAAAGGAATGCACAGTTCCATCGCCCAGCCGGTCAAACGTCAGTAAATCAATGATGCATGCCAACTGACAGACGAGTCCTGTGCAGATCTGCCACAGGCAGGAAGCGATCATCTACCGCGACAGCGCCGGTTAAGGAACAGTTAAGTTTTCGTGAGGGGGCGGGTCGATTTCTTAATGTTGAAGCGCACCTTTTTTTGGTAAAAAACTTTTCGGGATTTGAGGGTACCCTGGATTTCTTAACCCAAATGTTTTAAGTTAAAACAGCAGCAAAGAAAAATATCAAGAAATGCGAGCAAAGAAAGATTTGAGCCTGTCACCCCTTCCATTCCAGCTCATGCGCTTATCCGCTCGGGCATGGCATCCTCTAGAATTTAGACTTCTTGAAAGCCATCATGTCGATCCATTTTTGTTCCCAGCTTGTATTCAGCCCTTACCAGAACCCTCCAAAACAAGAACTCGAACCCCTCAATTCTTAAGTTCAAGAAATCGAGTCCCTGAATTTCTTATTTTGGTGGGTTTTTCCTATATGGCCAAGCTTCATTTAAGCCCTTATTATAAGCCCTCACAAAGCCTCTGGAGCCCTCCAAAGCTGTTGCTGAGGCCTTATCAAGCCCTTATATATTAGGCAAGCCAAGAATCCCCCAAAATGAGAAATCGAACCCCTCAATTTCGTAAGTTTTAAGCAATGGAGCCCGTCAATTTCTCATTGTGGTGTTCGCAATACATGCAATCCCATGCAATGTCCAAGGAGACGAAAGTCGCCATAAACCTCAAACAGCGAAAGACCGCAGAGTAGTTCGAAGCCGACAGACCTCAGGTCATCGTTTGGGATTCACGACCATGGAGAGATTGGACGCACCACGACACTCCACGACCACACTCGAATCCCCAAGCACAGGATTTTGGACCAAATTGGACTGCACATACTCTGAGGCCACAACGGCCGAATCCACGTCACTCTGAACCCAGGAACGTCGTCTACCTTACGTCACCATGCAGTTTGTGAAAATGCACATGTCAGGAAGGGCAGCTGCAGATGCTGCTGGCCTGGACAGGCATGTAGAAACTTCAACCGCTTTCACTGCATCGGGCATGAACAGCCCTTCAGGTGCGGCAAGGTTTGTTGTGCATGCGTGGTTGCAGGCAGAATCTCGCGCTTCGTGAGGCAGAACTTGCAGAGCAGGATTGCTTTTGGCAGCTGGTCAGATCCAGCAGTGCGCATGCCATGCATGCATTCGTGAGGAGCCGAAGCGACTTCGAGGGCGGGCAGAAGCTGGCCTTTTCGAGTGCTGCCCCTAGATAAATATCAAGGCGGCAGGTGTTCGCCAAAGCACCTGGCATGTGGCTTTTCTGCTCGACTTCTCGACTGGCCGAAACCTTCGGTTGACAGAACTATTTGCGAAATGTTGTGACTCAGGCAAGCTTCCCGCACATCAAAATTTGAATTTTGCTCTTGTGGGAAATCTTGCCTTGCCCGAACCAGCGCACTCTTTTTGTTTACGAGGCTTCTACTGGTAGCTGCAAGTGCGAGTTTACCAACTGCTGGCTCTTCACGCATCTTTCAAATCTGCGCAGGTTGTTGCATTCTCAAGCCGAACATGCCACATGAAGATCGACAGCTGCAATGTTTTTTTGGTGCATCGAAAACCCTAGCTACCACCCTGCTCTAAACGTTGCTGGGTGATGCGTGAAGCTAGTTGTAGCGGGAATTCTGCTTGAAAGAGCTCTTCTGAATTCTGAACGACACAAGTACTGTTATATTGCTTTTGAAAAAGGTTCTGCCTCTTCGTACTGGACCATAGCAAAACCAAAAGGCAGCAAGTGGAGGGAGTCACGGTGGAGTGCCACAGTCGTTTCGACGTCGGAGCGACGTGTGGCTCAAAGAAAACCCGGGTTGGGCGGCCGGGCAAAGAAAAGAGCGTGAGCCTCATCTAGCGATCGCCGTCACACCTGACCGTCGCGGACTTGAAGGAAGTAAACGACGTGCTAAGGTATGTCCGGGCCAGTGCCAACGCGGTCGTTCGTGTCATGCCGACCGAGATCGACCAGCTCATCTTCGTGGCCTGCGGTGACTTGGGCTTCGCTAATGCACCAGGATGCAAGTCACGGGGGCGGCTTGGTGATCGCGGCAACGGACAAGCTGGCCAAGGTTCAAGAATGCCCAGCATCCTGGCTTGAGCGGAAGAGCTATCGACATCAGAGGGTGTTGAGGAGCACCTTGGCAGCGGAGGCCGCGGCACCTGACCGCACCACACCGCACACCACGACCATGGGCACTTATTACTGTGAACTTCAGCGAGATGTGCGATGCTTCGCTTCTCTCCACCATGAACGAGCAGTCCGCTCTTCGAGGTGATCCCAATGACAGACGCCAGATCGCTTTGGGACTAGGTCCACAGGTTGACGACGTCGTTCCCCCAAAAGAGGGTCGAGCTTGATATCGCCGCCTGGAGACAGACTTGCATGGGGTTGAGGTGGGTCCCCAGCGAACAGCAGCTGGCGGATGTCATGACCAGACGATCGCGAAGCCTGAGAGACGCTTTTTTCGCGAGTGGATGTCGAAGCCCGTAGTGCGACTGACTGAGAGCAAATCGCCCGCCGGCATGTCTGTTGGTGAGGGAGCTAACGCGGCATGGAGATGAGTCTTCAGGCAATAGAAAAAAGAATAGTGCTAAACGAATCAGGTCGTATGCCGACTGTTGTTGCCATGAAGATTCACGGAAGCCATGCTTCGCTCTTCCAGAGGCTCGAAGGGAAGGGTACACGTGTGTGAGAAAAGAGAGTTCTCAAGAGGATTTTTATGTTTCACTTGCTGTGTTGTCACATGCATTTCAAATTTGAAGTATTGTCGTCAACGTGCCAGTACGAAATGATGGCCTTCGTGAGCGTGCTTCTGTCGTAATATCGAAGGTGGAGATGAATCATCCGCAATTTGGAAAGGCTTCTGCTGGTTCTGTCACAGTCGAGATGCACTGAGCAAGTTTCTTCACATGGTTCTGGCCCTCCGTCAGAAACTCCTTGTGTACGTCACCCACGGCTTGGAGATCACAACATGTCATGTTTCTGTTGCAAAAGACGGGTGAAGTTGCTCTTGTAATCCTTCGCCCATTATGCCACACCTTCACCAAGACCTGCATCTACCGGAGCCAACATGTTATCTGTATTCACCTTTGCCTTTGGACTTTGTTGAGCAAGTGCGAGCTGCTGAGCCATTAGTTGGCGCTGTGTTGTTTGAGATTGAAGAAGTTGAAGGATAATGTCTCGATTGCTGCGCAAACCTGTGCCAAGCATGCCCGAGTCATTGAAGTGGCCACACTGCAACCTCTGAATATTGCTACGGCTCGTAAAGTATAGTCTTGTATGGTTAGGCTGCCGAAAGGGGTGCTCTACGTGATGCCTAGAGAAACATCAGCTCTGAGCGCCGAATGCTGACTGAGGACAGAAATGCTGGGCTCGGTTTGAGACTCAGTTCTGGGCATGCACGGACTGGAGCATTGGCAGAGTTCGTAATCCTCCAGTTTTGCAGTCACACCCCGGGCTGACCAAGAAGTTTCAAGCAGAAAATGGGCTGCGGGGCGGGGCTGTCCAACGCTCTTCCAGGTAATGTGACCAGGTGTGATTTGTTTCGGAGATTTTCGGAGGTTACGATGCATATGGCTGCAAACTTGGAGAAGCCGGCCTTCCAAGCGTATTGCAGCTGGAGGGCCTTTGGCGAGGCGAGCAGCACGGCTTGCACGCGGGGCGCAACGGGCTTGTCCTCCTCGACTTTTGCCCCACGGTTCAGACGGCAGGCTCTTCGTGAGATGAGCACCGCCTCCACTACGAAGTTCAGACGCATGCCTGGACCTGAGCAGTTTGAGTCTACGTTGAACGTCAAGGTATCAACCTGCACAGATTCATTCCTTGCCTGGCAATCCTGGCATTTACAGTCAACTTGTGAACATGCAGATTTGGGCAGCAGCTGCTCGCCGGTCGGCTGCAGCCTTAAATAGGAGCCACATGCTCTGTCTCAATCTTCACAAAACAGCTACATGTCTTCGAAGGCTGCGGACGTTTCCCCCCAAGCCAACGATCAAAGCGTCGCCTGAGCAGGCTTTGGATGGGCAGAGTTTGCATTCTGACAAGTTGTTGCACAACACTCGCTGTAATCGAGGCGACGGTTCTCGTCAATCAGATACAGGCCATTCCTGTTGTCGGCGTGCACCATGCAAAAAGACCATCGATCGCGCGAATGGCACATGCCAGGCGACCAGGTGCATCAAAACGTCTGAATAATTACGGTGTGCGAGAGCCTCCTAAGCAAGGGACTTTTGATTTTGATATCGCGGTCGCGGAACATTCCCGTGCGCGGCAAGACCAGCAGGTCATTCTGCCTCATACACCTGACTGGAGTCGTGTGCCGAAGTACTAGCCGAGAAGCAACCCACGCTAGCAGCGAGCTGCAGTGGTGAGGGTGGCAACCAGAATCCTCCACCTAGGACACTGCACGATCTTTGAAGGCAGCGATATAAGCATTACCATGTGTGACATCCTGTCGCTGCTTTCCCATCATCTGAACACCACATCGGGTGTCCGGGGGACGTTGGTCCCTCCGTGGTCTGTGCAGATGACGGATCTGCACCGGGGGCCACTGCGAGCACTTTCTGCAAGATGCATCCAGCCACCATTTTGTATCGATGAAAGACTGTGCACGTTAAGCTCCCTGAAACACCTGGAGTGAACATGTGCTACATGGGGTGCACAAAGAGAACGGCAGTCCTTCAACACGTGCTACATGGGGCGCGCAAAGAGAACATCAGTCCTTCAACATGCCATCAGCCTGCCCTGTATTGGCAGCATGTGCCCCCCGATACCTGCCAAGGCAAACAAACAAGAGGTCAGTAGTTTACAGAAGTGCGTGCGGACAAACACTGGTGTTGGTGCCAGTGATCGATGCGGCACTGTAGGGTGTTTGCTTGATCTGGCATCGGCAAACGCAGTGCCCTTATCGGCATCACTTGAGCCGCTTCATGTATTTTCACCACTGTGATGCCTCTCGCTTACATCTCCACCTTGGTTTGTTTGCACGTGAGACCTTCCAATAATACCGTGCTTCCAGGTGGTGGCGAGAACCCCAGGGACGCGCGGCACGGCGCAGAGCCACGCCACTGCACAAAAAAGTAGATCTTGTTTTCCTTGGCTACGACACATTGACTTAACGCTTGACCACCCCGCCCAGCAGAACAATAAGCTTGCAAAATGTTGAGTCCAACTCCCTGATGCTCCCGGGCATTTACCAAAAGCACATCGGCACGCAGTCGGCTCAAAGATCGAATGAGGTACTGGTCATCATTTTCTGCCGACTTTCACTTACACCCCGCACCCCCGCTGGAGTACGTGCCGACCCGGCTGCATCGTGCAACAAACGCCTTCGAAGATCTTCGGCAGTGATGTACATCTTCGATGTGATTCATGATTTCTCGCTTCCGGCTTCAGTGCACGGCGGCCGTGAGGCAGCCCTGGTCGCCTTGACCGATGCCGGATTGTGCTCGAAAGTTACACCGCAAGTGGACGAGGCCTTTGTTATCTCCGCAGCATCCGCAGCTCACACAGGAACTTCACTGACTTGTCGCAGAAGGTACTTGTGGAAGTTTGGGGCGAAGGTGGAAGTGAAGAGCTTGTTCTGCCAATCTTGATTGAAGGCGGGGGTTGGGACACACGGCGTTTCTGGCATCCGCCGTGTTTCACTGCAGTTTGTGTTTGTGTCCTGCATGCATGCAAACTTAGCGCCCTTCTATTTTGCTCTATACTCTACCATGACAGGTGATCCGCTGGTGGATGCGCAGCTCCTTCTGTCTGAGGATCTCATCTCATGAATTAGGTTTGGGCATGTTTTGCACGGACAACACGAAACATCTGGATGCCGCTGTAGAATCAGATCGTCTGGCCGGGAGATGGAGCAAGAAGACACTTGTTTTTCCCTGAATCCAGATTAAGGCAGCGACAGACGGCCGTTCGAACGGAGCAAGGAACACCCTGATCAGAGAGTGATGGGGCACCCCGATGTCGTCGGTGATATTCGATCTAGCCGACCCACTGTGTAACCAGCCGCAGAACCCAAACAGGGGTCGAGGTCAACACAACCGCCCCACATGTGGCGTCGCTCTGGATTCTAAGTTCGCACGTCGCCGATTCCATTGCTGAGCAGTTCTTCGCACAGGAGCTTGCACCACCAGTGCTTCCAGACCCGATATTGGCAGTACTGACGGCATGGCTTGAAGAGGCCAGTGCTTTAAATCGCTTGCAGAAGCTGTTGCAAGGCGCCCCGCCGAGATTATTGCTTGCACTGGGTTTTGTCAGGCTGCTGGACCAGGATATGCTTCCTTGCAAAACTATTATGTTGGAGTCTGAGGGATCGGGGGCTTAGGATGCTCAGAGAATTGTTTTGCATCTCGAAGGTGAACTCCCGTTGGCGTGGCAGAAGTGAATACTCCAACATGGTGTCGGCCTGGCAGAATTTGTTTCTCTGCTTCAGCAGCAGCTCAGCTAGTCGGCTTGTCATGGAGTGACGAAGTTTCAGCCAGGTATGTTCCAAAACAACGCCTATTCCAACTCACTTTACATAGGTGACGACTCCGCGTTGCAAGAAAAGATGTGCCAGCTTCAAACTCAGGCTTGCCCCTGGCCTAAACCGCCTTGCAGACAAGACCTTTTTGATGATCGAAGTTGCACCAGTCTAAACGTCGCATTCTGTCCAGTATCCCACCCGCCGCTTGCCTGCAAGCACATACCCAAGTAAACCAAACGCTCGGATAGAGAATCTGGCGGATATCTGTGCGACGTAGAGCACCCTGAGTGGTCATGTAGCGTCCTGCAGCTCTCGTGACTACATGCGAATACCCTTCCACGGACGCGACTACCACACAACAATCCACGTCGATATTTCTTCGTGTTGTGTCCCCAGGCCTTGTATCTTGTACAATCGATTGTTCCGTTGAGTGAGTGGGCCAGTCACGCACAAGGCAGCCTGCTTTGCATGGCCGACTGCATATTCTGGCACAAGCCACTCGTCTAGGCGTGCTATGGTGCTGTTCTCTCACTCGGATCATGGGACGGCGAAGCCGCTTGGTCAACGCGTGCGTGAAACAGACAACCAATGAGAGGCATGATGATGGCCCGTTCATCGACTACATGTTCCGGGAAGTGGCCCGCCGGGGGTTGTTGCGAGATGAAGAAGCTGTGGCCAATTTCACAGCTGATCCACTGTCCTTTGTTCGACGTATCCTGACATCTGACTATGCAGCCCAGGCCACTGCAGATCAGACGCTGGTGCGTGAGCAGCTCATTTGGAGGATGACGCATGTCCTGCGAGGAGATCATTCGCCATCCGCCAGCAACCATTGGAAGGTTGTGCAGGAGGTTTACCGAGTCCTGCGTGCAGCGAGATTGCTAAGAACTAGGGTAAGCTTGCATTTACTTCAGAAGAACATCCAGGAGACCATTGATAGGAAGGAAGCAAGAAAGCAGGCCGAGACGACGTTCAATCGACATAGTCGTTTGAAGGACTTCTGGCCGCAGTTCCACAATTCTTCACGGCTCGGTACTCCGCTGGATGTCAAGAGCTTCACCGCAAGTGACGTGGCGCTGCCAGCGCTGGTACCCAGTCACTTGGGAAAATCGAAGGCTTCGAAGGCCTCCAAAAGTTTGAAGGATCTCGAGTGGAAGACTCGCGGCGCCCGTAGCCATTGCTCTGCCGGTTCCTGGAACTGGCTGCCAGCCTTGATGGAGCCGCCCCTGAACACAGTGAAAGATGGTGTTGCACGGTCTGCTTCAACTTCCAAGATCAGTCCAGCAGACCCGAAGCAGCAAGACACGGCTTCAAAGGACATGTGCGGCCTGACCACTTACCTGCGAGAGAAGGGAGAGATGTTCCCAAAACTCATTCCAGACTCTGCCACGACGTTGCCCACATCATTGCTTCCAAGCATCCAGGACAATCCAAAGGAATCTGTCCTGCTGTACAAGGGCAAGTTCCAGCGTCCTTGGCAGGTTGGTCAACTTGCAAAACAGTCACTCTCCACGAAGCAGTACCTTAGCGCCTGCAATCGGGAAGGGCTCTTGCCCTCGACAGATCCATTCGTCACAGGCCACTCGGACTGCATAAATGCCAAGGCTCAGGGCCTTTCGGACCGAGACCTTTTGGCCATATGCGAAATGCTTGACACAGGCTCCCCCGTGCGAGAACTAGACTTGGAAGGGAATGCTTCCATTTCAGAGAAAGCTTTCCTGCATCTCTTCACCTACTTTCAAGACTCCACGACGGATTCTCAAAGAGAGAGGCCTCGCAATCGGAACCTCCAGAAGCTGAGCTTGGCTGGTTGCCCCAACTTAGTGCAAGATGAGCCGTTTGCAGGCCTCATTCAGTTGCTGAATTCCGCGAGCATGCAAAACTTGCTGTCTTTGAATCTGGCGGGTTTGGCGATTGGGGTGAATTGGCAGGTTCCCCTTTGCAAAGCTATTCGAAATCACAGCTCCCTGAAAACTCTATCCTTGGCAGACACAGGGCTTGGCACTAGATCCTCAAGCGACGAGGACGACAACACGATGATTTGCATTGTGGAGTTGCTTAGTAGTAGAAGCATACTGCACTTGGACCTCAGCTGGAACTGCTTCGGTGCGCTTGGCTTCGACTTCCTCGGCCAGAAGTTGATTGAGTTGGGCACTCTGGAAAAACTGGACCTTGCGAGCTGCTCAACGTTGTCCAAGAAGTCGCCTTGGAGCTCTTCCATGGTTTACTTGCTTGAGCATCTGAGCGAAAACACATCCTTGCAACTCTTGAATATTGCAGGGAATTACTTGGATTTTCGAGCAGCACTTCTTCTTGAGGACTCTCTGGAGAACAACACGGTGTTGCGAGAGATGGACGTGTCACACAACGGTCTCGGCAATTTGGGGATTCGCAGCTTGCTACGCTTGCTTGCCAGAAAAACATCAGGCTTGCAATATTTCCATTTCGAGAATTGCAGCAAGGGCACAGTCGTTGGAGCCCGGACAGATTTGCAAATATTCCGTGCGTCTCGCCCTCAAGGGCGATACAAGTTTGATTTGGCACAGCCTTATCACCGCACCTTGCTTCGCATGCTGTACAAAACCGCAGAGCGACTCAATGTGGCTTTCGACCAAACATTCCGCGACATGACTGCCTCACCGCCCTACAGTCATGCATCCAAGAATTCCAGTGGCATCTACTCACTACCACAGGCTGGTACTCTTGAGCTGACGTTTACCATGGATAAGGTGCTCGAGGACAGAGCTGCCCTAGCCAAAGGCAGTTCAGACTCCTTGGACTTTAACTCAGTGCTCACATGCCATGCCCAGTTGCTGCGGATTTTGCCAGGCCGCTCAAAGCAGGTTGCACTGCTGGCTCAATGGAGGCGGATGGAAGGCTTGCGAGAGGAGCAGAGCATCATGATTGATGCTTTGTCCAAAGACTTCCGTCTTAGCTTCGCTCAGATCGCAGTAATGTGCCAAGACCGGGCTCAGATTTGGGATGTTATGGCGAGCCTTCAGTGCACTCCGCTAGAAAGCCCCTTGCAAGCCTATTTGGGAATGCGCCTCATTCCCAATTCCTGTGACTATGTAAGAATGCTTCAGCGGTCAGCGCGGCAGTTCTCGTTCAACGCTGGCAATCCAACTGGTCACTATTCTTTGGACATGTCCAATCCGGTGGATTATGGCGTGGCTGAAAGCCTGGCAATCCTAGACAACTGGGAGGGCATTCTGCGAATAAAGGAAGGCGGGACAGACACCTCGCAGCTCGGCAACAACTCTCACGCGCGCAACATTCAGCATGCAAATTGCCCTCTTCCATGCAGTCTCACGGATTGGATTCTCGCAGAAAGCGATGTCCTCGAGCTGGACTACAACAGTTCACGGAGGCCAAGAGGCGCTGAGCCTGTGAAAGATGACCAGTTCGAGCTGATCATGACGGCTTTGCTTCAGTTTGCACGGTCTCCTTCTCGCTGCAGGCTGCAAGCTCTCCTGCAGATTTCCCACACACTTTACTTGACATGCTTGCAGCTACGTCAAATTCTCGACCTGTTCAAAGACTCAACTACTCGTTGTGATGCCTTCGCGATGTTTTACAACCGCATAGTGGATATCCAATTTGAGAAGCTCGTGCGGATGAGACTAGACGATGATGCATCAACCTCCATGTTGCAACGGTTAGGATATGCCGCGAGCTTCCCTTACCTCCAACCGGAGCAGATTCACATTCAGTTGAGCTGCAAGAACTTTGACGAGAGGCTGTTGGTGAGTTCTCTTCTCAAGCTGTCCGGAAAGGAAAGTCCATCCAACCTGAAGGACCCTTTATACACTTCCGGAGAGGGTGCTGTAGATCCACTCACGCTCGGAATTCCTAAGTCTTGGGAACAGATGTCAAACGTACCGAAGCACGGTGTCTTCGAGGCGGAGTACGTCTGCCGAGCCGACCAGCGCAGCTTCAAGATGAGGAAAGACCTTTTGGAGCAGATGGGAAGCTGGCAAACGGAAATCGGAGAGGAAGATGTTTTCTTCTGCAGCTTCACCAGCAAGTTGCCTGCCGATGTCCTTTTGCTCACAACGTGGATGATAGCGAACTGCGACACTCTTGCAGCCGCATTTGCACAGATGAGGCAGGACAAGGACAAGGACAAGGATGCCGATGGACAGATGAGCAGCCGTGAGTTCGAAGAAGGATGCAAAAGAATAGGATTTGCCAGATTCAAAGGGCCGGGGGAGCAGCAGCGGTTCCAGACTGTGTTTCGATTCATTGACGTTCGTTCGGAAGGCAAGATTTCCCTGAAAGATTGGGATGCTCTGAGATACGTGGAGCAGGAGCCGCCAGCTTCTTGCATCACAGCTTGGCTCTTGTGACAGTGGCGGTTAGCATGAAATCACTACAGTCACTACAGTTTCTTGAAACGGGCTGATAGCATTCGTCACTTCATGAAAGGACAACAAGTCAGGTTTGCTTCCTCTGATGACTGCGGGTCATCCTTTGCAGTTCTCGCGCTATGTTCAATGCGCATTGCTTTCGCTTCATGTGGCCCCAAGCAGGCTGAAGGCTTCAGCGGATTAAATCCGAGAAAACACTGGTAGGAAGCAAACTCGCGCTCCAGCGTACTGAACCAGTCAATGATGTTGTGTGCCGAAGTGTTGCAGCCCATACTGGTCCATTTGAGCTTGACCAGCTGGCGCAGCTACACTTCGTCGACCGGAACACTTGCACGCTAACTTTTGGAAACCTCCAGCGTCCCGCATTCGACAGTTGCAATCCCCAGCCATCCCCAGCATGCTGTGGACATTTGTGGACATCAATTGGATGCAGCTGCAGGGCATACAATCGTGCGGGCAGGTACACTTACGAGTCGTACGAGCACAGCATCCCAATAGACGAGAAACCTCATGCGACGGCGTCGGCAAGTGATTGTACGGAATGCATCGCAGCATGCGTATATGCAGGTATGTCCCTGTGAAGAAAAGTACATAAGGAATCCAGTCAATCTCTCGCTCTCATTGCTAGCACCGCACGTGAAAGCACCACCCCGCTTCGTGCGACATACTTACGTTTCTGCTGCTCGAGTGAAGTAACTCAAACTGCTGGTCGTAGGATCGTAGAGCTGCAAAGGAGTGACAGACATTAACATATAAACAGGACACCCGTAATTGCACTCTCATCGAGGCATGGTCTCACATGTGGCAATGATGCGACAACACAAGCTGAAGAAAGGGCAACCTGTTTCCATGCAAGGGCACATGCTTAGACACGTTGCATAGCAGCACTGGCGTTTCTTCCGCGAGGATTTGAAAGTTTGCATTGGGGAGACGATGCTATTTTGTCGGCGGCTCTTTGGCGACGAGGAAAGTTCTTGGGCTGCACTCAGCGACGGCACTGCCACGATGACGTTGGAGGAGTGGCAGGAAGCTTGGGACACGCTGGGCTATTTTGGTCCGGTTGCGCAAATCTTTGCGTTTTTGGACAAAGACGGTTCTGGCAGCTGCAGTAGCACTGCCTTCGAGCAGCTGTCAAAGTATGAGGTGTCGAATCTTGGCGCAAAATTAGACCAGTGACTAGCCTTGCTTGTTGGACCAGGCTGCAGTTGCACAGTTCTGAGCTTTTTCGGGCGAAGAAGCTTGGGCATGGGCGACTAGGATTCGTCCCCGTCCCCACTCTGGCCCTCCCCTCCCAGCGCTCGCAAGTCCAACAACATGATTAGCATGGCACTGACTGCTTGTCTCGAAACGGTCCATACGACAAGTTCGATGCTACAAGCAGCTGTCCCAACATTCATTCTAAGGTTGCAGGACATGCTGGGTGCAGCGAAGCAAGAGTCATGAAGGTTGCCAATATTGATCTCAACCTTCCTGGATCCTCTCGGTGTTCACGATTCTTTGATTGCTCTCGTGCCCTGCTTGCACTGCCAGCAGATGAGCGTTTCACGAAACAAGTTTTTTAGGTTTCACGATCGAATGGAAAGTGCCGGCAGCACTGTCCGAGCGACACTGCTGGACTGGAGGAAGAAGCACATGGAAGCGCATATCCCACTGGCTGTGTTCAGTTTCCATGAACCACAAATTCCTCCGATTGCCATGAGTCGTTCTCCTCCTCTCTGCCACAGCCATCCATGACGGCATGAAGTTTGCAGCTGCTGGCGAGATTTCAAACCTGCGTTTTTCACGCCGTAATTTACAGGTTTGGCGGGAATTATTACCGCACGCCGCAATGAAGCGCCATCAGCAGTAACATTCCGCAGATCCGGAGAATGCTTGACAGAATCCTGTTGGCCCTTTCCAACGGCAAGCGATGGCATCCACCGACTTGATGCAAGACTTGCTCAAACGAGCCCACACGGAGGCCCAACCTACTAACCTTAGTATGCTTATTCTGCAATTGAACCAGTTCGTCCTGCCGGTTGTGCTGGTCAGGTGGCTCAGTCGGTCCTGCAGGATGTTCAAGGCTGTGCCAAGCAATCACTTTGTCGAATCTATGTTTTCGTTTGGTGGCTGTGTGCTTCCTGAGGAAGGATGCCTCTCCAACTGCCAACGCTTCTCCTGCGGGTCCCCAGGCAGGAGTGTCGAGTGGCATACTGCAATCCAACAGCCCGCATCAAGTCGTTAACTGCATGGAGCACAGGTGAAACTCAGTCAATTCGAATCGGTCGGATTCCCACTTTTATTGGGGCACACTTCAGCATCTCCCCGATCTTTGAAGTGAAGTCGACACCAGGCACACTAGATTCTGCCGTCGACCGATCACAGCGCTGTGCCAGCCCAGACTATAGCCCAGACTCATGACTGTGACGAAAGCTTCGAATGTTGGATCCTCGGTGGCAGAATCGGATTTCCATGAATGGGGTTGAATCGCAGGTAGGGCAGCCTGCCACTTTCGAGAGAAGTCCGGAAGGCTTGCCACGAATAATCCTGCAGACAAAGACTGTTCTCGAGTGCGGAGTTGCAAGCGACAGCGGATACTGGACCTCAAATCACGATTTGCTGTCGACTCTAGCATTGCAGCTCAGGCGGTTCAGGAAACTGCGCGTGAGAAGCACGAACTTCGGAACTCGGTGCATCTCGGCGCATCAGATCATCGAGCGAAGCATCGTCAGAAGTCAGGCAAAGCACGGTGCTGGCACGGTGTGGCACAGCTATGAACGAAGCACAGCGCGACGAAGCACTGCATCACGCATGAAGCGAAGCAAAGTGACAGAGCCGGTCTGTTTTGCGGTTTTGCGGACCAGGGGGTCCACGACGTTGTTACAGCCGTTCGGCACACATTGGGCAAAAGGCTGTAATTGAGCAAGAAAGGTACAGGAGCATGTGCTGCGTGCTATGTATGCTTCGTTTGATGATGGGGAGCAAGCCCGCTGGCAGGTTGCAGAGTGGGTCGAACGCTCCACACAGCAACTACGTGCTGCCAGCTCAGGAAGTGCGGCATGTCGCCATATGCTCTTGAGACTCGGCATGAAGTCGCACAGCACTTCGGAAGTAGTTCATGCACATGAGGTACGATCTGCTGCTGCCGTGCTCCATCCCGAACCACTCTCGCCTGGTGTCAAAGATAGCCTCGAGGGCTTATTCTTGTCGCAGTGTGGAAGGTCGTTGCAACATGTAGAAGGATGCTGCAGCTTGCACAGAGTCGAGCCGCTTTGCACCCAACAGGTACCTTCTGACATACTTGTGCGCCGACCAGAAAGAGAAGATCTCGGTGTCGCTGCCTCATCTGTTCTTAGCTCTCCAAGCCGCCTGCTTCCGTGCACAGAGAGTCTGAAAGAATCTTGGAATCTAACCAAGCACTGCACTGCTGCTTTCGGGACGATGTGTGCGGAAAGGAAGTGCAAAACCTTGCAAAGACCGCTACTTTTTTTACATTGATTGCATTGCACATAGTGCCCGAGATCGACATGACATGACGACATCCATACCTCCACATGGATGCATGCATGCACTTGTAAATAAGTACACCTCCGTCCGAGTCCATGCCCGCCTCCCTCCATCCATCCATCCATCCATCCATCTCGGTTTGTCCACGCTGCACACATCCAACTTGCAGATGCAGACATGTTGCCATGCCGGCTCGTTCAGACAATATAGGTTCTTACGTCCCTATGTACGACACACGACACCTCCACATACATACATACATACATACATACATACATACATACATACAAGTGAGCACACTTGCCTTCGCATATTGAATATAAATGCGTATAAGGTAGAAAGCGATTGAAGCAGCGGCGACTGCAACAAGTAGAGAGCAAAGAGTGAAAGGGACACGAAAAAACAAGCAAAAACAGGAGCCCGAAGCACACTCACAAAGCAGCCCCGAGAAGCCGACAGCCACCCCTCAAGTAGCAGAAGCAAGAACATGCTTGTAGTAGCAACACGCGGGAACCAAAAACACAAAACGCAACGACCAGAACGTCAAGCAACGCAAAATACCGTAAAACGACGCGAGCAGGAAGAGAGCAAGACGGGAGAAGCAGAACGAAGAAGAAAGCAGTAAGTAGAGCCCGACATCAGAAAGTAAGCTGCAGACGCAGACCGTCAGGAAGCCAAGACAAGCCGACAACAAAAGCAACGGATGTCCCAGAAACACAAGCGAAATGGCGACCGTCCACCATGCTCGATCTCAGCAGCAAGCCTGCCAGAACAGGATGCATGCTATTCCTCAGGCAATTGCGGCCAGCGGATTCGCCGCAGCTTCTGGCCATTTGTTTCTCCCAGCTCAACATGGGCAGCGCAAGGGCTGTCAAGTTAGGATGCCATAATGTCCGGAGACTTCGTTGCAAAGTCTGCTTCCACGTGGACAACACGGGCGAGGTTTGGGGGCAGCAAGCAAACATGCAGGAGAGGATTGAAAGTTCCAAGGAAAATGGAAGGCAAGGGCAAGGGCAAAGGAGCGTAGTCTTCAAAGTACCCCGAAAGGTGTCGCAACATCTGTTCCGCTGTGCACCAGGTTTCACGCAAACGTCACAAGAAACGTATTTTGTGAGACATTGCGCTCATGCTGTCTAAGTCATGTGCGATCCGGCTTTGCACAGCGTTGTGTGCTTGCATAAGGTCGGTTGATCCTTTTGTGGCTTTCCCCATGGTGCCCTGGATCTGCTTACTTCGAGGTTAAGGGCCCCAAGAGTCATCTCCAGCCAAGGCTAATCTGTTGATCTCGAAGGGGTTCAAGGCGAGTGATCACGATCCGCATTCCTGAGAGAAACCTAAAGCAAGCACGGAGAGGTTTCAAGATCGGTTGAAGCACAGAGCAGGTGGTCCGCGAAACAGATGATGCCCTGCAGAAGAGGCGCTTCTCTTTTGACAGCTGCAGCCCTCCTAGCATATGCAGATACAACTTGCAGGTCCGCGGTCACACCCGTCACTTTGGCTGCCCCTGTCTTATCGTCTCCGCTTGCATGCATCACTCGATACACTGTTGTGTGGAGCACTGGAGGTCCGAAGTCAAACGAAAGAGGACCGGCGCGGGCAGAGTCGGTTTCCGTTTCTGAACATGCTGGCATCCGGTATGCGCAGCGAACAGCAGCAGGACGTTCTCGCCTGCCTTGAGCATCAGACAGGTGTGTCGTTGCAGGGGCACTGAGGGACTTGGATTGTTCATGTCGAACTGTGACAGCACGCCCAGGCACTTCCGGTGGCAGGAGCAAGCTTTGACTTCGTGCTGGTCGCCTCAACATCCTCAGAAGCTGTGGCGAAGAACAGAGATGGCATGTCTTTGTTTGCACGGATGTACCATCTCGAAGCTGCCATGGTGATTTGTTCTAGGCAGCCTGGCAGCAGCTCGTAGCAGAAGCGATACTTGTAGAGTCGTAGCGTGTCACTCCCGAGAGCCCTCCCGAGATCAGTTGCCGTGAGAACTCGAACAGACCTAAAGCGATCCAGCTCAACGAGGGAGACCAATCAAGCATTTGACGCTGAAGATACAGGATGACAAAGCATGCAAAAGAGGAAGCTTGCCTCGATAGGAACATTGTCCACGCACCACCCGGTTCTTTGGAGTGCAGCAGCGAAAGCAGCAATGGCTCCGCCCAACAGCTTGTGCGACCGTTCTGCGACGTTTGGACACAGCACCGGCACTGCAAAAGGCAAGAGATATCATCACTGTATTCTCTAGCGTGATTCAGTGCCAGCACGCAGCATCAGAGTGGCCTTCAGATTGGCTTCGGATTCGCAAAGCATGTTGAAGATTCTCTGAAGCTGGCTCAAGACAGCACGTGCACTTGGAGACCGAAGCCTCTGGCCACCTGTCGAGGCTTGGCCCCGCAATCTTGCAATTTAATGCAAAACAGAGACTAGACCCAAAGGCGAAGGGGTGTTGCGATTTCACACCATCCTGAGGCCTTAGGGTGTGTTGGTACTCTTATGTACTTTTCTTGCACTCCGGTGGCTTGTTTCAGCATGTTGGGAAGGGAGTTCACATGGTTGGATTGTCCACGCGTCGCCGTCCCAGCCCCACAAACTCGAACATCCTGCATGCTAGGCAGATGGGTTTCGAGGAACAGGCTTGTGGTTCTTACTCGTACTGCTTGTACCTGTCATAGCCGCCTCGCCCATCTCTGAAGGGGCCGAAGCCCAGGCTAGGGCCGGAGGTGTTCATGCGAGAGTCATGCAAGCATGCTGCATTTCAACAACGGCGCATGCCGAAAACCTCCCTGCCAGGCCCAACCAAGAAAAGCTAGAGCCACAGGCAATTTGCAAATGTGTTCCGCAGAAACTGTTGGCTCTTATGCCTGCACGTTCTCCTATTATCGGCTAGGTAGGTCTGGAATAGGAGGGTCACACTACAGCACGTGATCAGCATGCTCTTCTGATTTTTGATCACCACCTTGATCCGTGGCCATTTTTGATCGAGACGATCGTCTCGATCCGCGAAGGATCTTTTTGTCGATCAGGTGAGGTCTAGGGCCTGGGTAGCTTTCGCTCGAGCTATGGCTGGTTGGGGTCAGGACGCCTGGGGTCAGCAGCAGGCTGATCAGCCTCAGCCCTATGCTGGTTACCCTAATCAACCGAGGGGCCAGTGGGCTGGTCAGACCCAGCAGGATCGCAGGGAGAGACGCCACCGCCGTGATCGTGGTGGCGATCGTTTTCCGAATGCTGCTCATAACCCTTATGAGGTTCGTCTGCCCCAGCACATTGAGTCGATCGCTACCTGTGACGATGACGATCGCAAGACCTCGATCATCATGGTCGACACCAGAGATGAGAGGATCGTCTCGCCTTTTCAGGCATGGCTGGTCCGGGAGATTATGACGAACGCCTCCTCCTCGACGAACGTCTTGACGGAGAGAGATCAAGTCATGACACCCAGTTCTGGGTACCACATGTCGCTCTTTGCCAACTACACTCTGGATGGCATAAAAGCGACACTGGCGATCTCAGTGGACTCCACGACAGGAGTTCCCTGTGGAGACTGGTCTGCTCAGACCGCCAAGGCGCTCGCCCACGAGGCTTTTCAGCCCTTCTCGTGGCCGGTGCTCAACTCGGATCTGTCGGTTCAGCAGCAGTTCGCTGACGAGCTGCTGATCCGCGACGTCTGCCGTGGTCGGATGCGGCTCTCGGTCGTGGTGGCCGCTTTCACCGGCTGGAAGTGCTCCGTCTTCTCTTTCGAGTGTGGCGGTCGCACCTACTCTGTGGGCCCTCAGGGCGTGGTCGTGGCTGGAGATCATGCCCGCTCGAGGTTCGAGCTCCGAGTGTGCAGCCGCTCTTCAGAGGATGCGGTCGGAAATGACGCCGATCGGCTGGAGTTCCGCTATCGGGATGCCAACAATCGCATGGACTTGAAGTGCGCTCGCACTTCGGTCCCGGCTACGTGGTTGACGGTCTCCCACATCAGCGGGCCTAGGCTCATTCAGGCCATCACCCGGTGCCGTGATCAGCGGGCACGGGTGGAGGGGCCTGAGCAGACTGAGCAGTTCGCTCAGCTGGCGGCCGCTCACCAAAACTGGTGGCACAATGCTCTCACCACGGACTATGCCCATATCGGCGTGCTGGTCTCGTTCGTGGGCGGCCTTGATCATGGCAACTTCCACGTTCAGTGCGAGAGCAAGCTCTACGTGATGCACCCACACCCAGGAGTCGGCTTCTCCGCTGCCGTTTGGCCCGCCCGCTCTTTCTCAAGGGGCTTGGCGGCAGGCGGCGGTCAGCTCTGACACTGCCGTGCCGGAGACTTCGCAGATTGCCGTTCGCAATCGCAATCGGGCGGAGATGGAATCCCGGGCGCTCGCCCCCGAAGATCGACCACCTGCTCAGCCGGTGGACTACGATCAGAACGATGAGGAGGGCACCCGTGGGCACATGATCGATGCTGCCAGGGACGATGCTCGGCAAGATCGTTCCTTTGCCCGCTCGACGGCAAAGCTCACACCGGCGCAGTTCGCCGAGCTGGCTGACTCGTACCAGAACCCTGTTGGTCACGCTACCTCTTCGGCGGCAGCTCAGTTTTCCACGGTCGTGGTTGAAGAGGCCGAGCCGGAGAACTTGCTAGCTCCAGCAGGAGAGCCGACCTCGTTCAGGCCGCACCGCACGCCATGATCGAGGCCGATCTCAGAGGTGCTCACCCGTTTTGATCCAAGGGTGTTCACCCCAGGATGCCGTGAAGGCGATTTAAGTTCTCGCTCGCATTTTGGAGCCACGACTGCTCCCGCTCGGGCAAAAGATTTCAGTGATGCAGCCGGATGCCGGTCAGCAGTTCTGCACATGTTTTCACTGTTGATGTTTCTCTCTCTCTCTCTCTCTCTCTCTCTCTCTCTCTCTCTCTCTCTCTCTCCCTCTCTCCTTCCTTTCTCAGTGCAACATGTTCACAGTGCTCGGCAGTCATGTCGTTCGTCGTTCGTCGTGCCGTTCGGTTGGCCGGGAAGGTTGGTCGGGGCACTGCAACGACGATGCTCATGATGCCTTCCTTGATTTTCTTCTTTCGCTAGTTTTGGCTCGGCAGGATGTTGCGGGAAGCAGCGCCAGCCGATCGCTGGACAGCGAAGATCCTTACTTACCCATGTTTCGACCCTGGGTTTCGCCAGGCGATCGTGGCGACCCGGCTGGCGGAGATCCCTTTTGTTCTTTCAATGGACGCCGGGACGCCTGAGCAGTTCGCCGCGGTGTCTCTCGACTGGACGGCCAGCTCGGCCAAGACGGAGCACGACCTCCTGGCTCCGAGGACCCAAATGCTCGAACAGTACTGGGTCTTCGTGAAGGCGGCGGAATCGCTCTTTGTCGAGTCTCTCGGCTACCAGATGGGCTTTGCTCGCTGCTCGAAGGTGCCCAGAGAACGTTCTGCAAAGTCGATCGCACACTTTCAGCGGGAGATGGCCATCCGAGCTCTAGCTGCACCAGTTCTGGCTCCTTCGGCTAAATCGAGGCTGCCGGCAAGCTCTTCTTCTCCCTCGGCAACTCCATTGCTCGACTTGGAGAACGCCGAGAAACAGAAATGGGCTAAGCGCTTGAAGGCGATCGCCGATCGGGCCGGCGAACACGCTCGGCCCGAAGGGGTCCACGATGCAGAGGGGATCCTCTCGGAAGAGGAACGCGCTCGCCTTCGGCTGTTGGTTTTCACCTCGGGGGCGCCTTCTACCATCATGCCATGATGGCAAACCACATTCGTAGGTTCGAGAAGTTCGAATTGTGGGCTCGGCACGTGCCGCTCCCCCTCTACCCCATCTCGGACGACAAGATCCTGAAGTACGCCATGGAGCTCGACTCGAGGGAGTGCGGCCCGACTGTTCTTCCTTCGCTCCGCATGGCTCTTAAATGGGTGGCTTTTCGGATTAACCTCAAGCTCCCCTCGATCGAGACAGCGGAGCTAAAGGCGCTCGAGAAGGAGATCTTCACACAGCGAGGGCGGCCGCTGAAGGAAGCGATCGCTTTCCCGCTTGAGCTGGTCCAGGCTATGGAGCGCTTTGTCGCAAACGAAGCTCACCCTGTACCGGCTCGGGTGTTCCTCTGGTGGGTCCTCTGCATGATCTTTGCGTCGCTCCGCTTTGACGACGCGATCCACGTGAAGCCTCACGAGCTAGAGGTCAAGCCTAACGGTCTGTTCGGGATCTCCTGGCACACCAAGACTGAGCGGAAGCGGCGCGGCACCAAGTTCATGGTTCCCGACGTTGCTTTTTCTAAAGTGGCTTGGTTCAAGATCGGGAAGGACTTGTTCGAGTCGCAATTCCCGCTCGTGGAACGCGACTTCTGGATCCCCGAGCTCGACACCAAGGAGCGCTGGCGCCAGACTCCCCCTGATTACGCTCGCTCTCTTCAGTGGCTCCACCACCTGGTCTGGCTCGCGGGGCAGGAGAGTGGGGTCGCGAGGGAGTTCCTGGACAAGGTCACCGATCTTACGTGGCACTCAGCTCGAGTAACATCGAGTAACTATGCTTGATCTGGCCGTCCATTGTGAACGATCGGAACAAGAGATCGGGGTTCAGGCGAACTGGAAGAACCCCGGCCCGCTCGTTCTGAAGTACACGCGCTCGAGGTCCTCTCTTCCAGCGAAAATGATCAAGGAGTTGGTGCAGGAGGTCTCGCGCGAGTTCGTGGCCCCTCTGTGCTCAAGAGGATGACACGATCGAGGACGCAGAGGGCAGGGATCTTTCATTGACTGAGTTCTTTGTCAAGGTCCCGGTCAAGGACTCTGTGGAAGAGATCGCATGCAAACGCGCGATCACGCCCGAATTTACACACATCGGGTCTGTTCTGCCCGACTGCCCGACCCTAAGCTCTTTTGCAAACTGTGCGCTAAGGCTCGGCCGGACGTGGCTCTCGCCTTTAAAGTCTAAAATCCTGTGCAGTGCTGCGCCTGCTCGCGCCTTGTCGCATTTGGGAAACTCTGTTGAGCTTGCTCAAGCATTGATTGAGGCTCTTTTGCGTTGTTCTGCCATGGTCGACCGCACGGTCTACCCGGACAAGGACAAGACGCCCGAGCTCGCCTTGCGCCAGATCTTCGGACGGCAGAAGCTCCCCGAAAACTTATGCCTTCTCATGGCGAATAAAGGCATGCTCTCCGTCGAGCGTATGTCCATGCTCGGGGACTCCATCGCGTCGGTCAAGGCGACGCTCCGGGCTATCGTTGGAGACGACACGCAGTTCGGGGCCGATGGTCCGGCACAGGAGCTCTCGCTCACGCTCCTGACCGCGATCTGGAAGTCAGCCTCAGTTCTGCAAGAACACGTTGCCTCTCGACGGGCCAAGATGGAGGAGGATCCATCCAAAATACCAGAGATTCCTGGTGAAGATCATGCTGAGTTTCGTGAGCTCTTTGTCACTCAGCACCCCGACATCATTCTCACCTACATGCGCGAGCCGCACCGGAAGTTCGTCGAGAGGATCCACCGGGACTATATGGTCCATGGGGCGGTCGCGTTCTACGAGGTCGCTGAAATGCGCCCCCGCTCGGACCGCACGGTGCAAACACCTGGCTTCTCGAAGACTTCAGAGGATCTCCTCAAGGTGGTCCAGCTCGACAACAAGGTGGCGGTCGCCTCAGAGACGGAAGTCATGGATCGCCTCCACTCGTTCTTTGTGGCGCTCGAGTACCTCAACATTTGCGAGTTCACCTTCGACTCCGGTCCCCTCAAGTACCTCTCGGAGCTTGAGGAGTGGCGCCATGAGAATCGTGGTCTCGCAGTTCTTCTTGCCGCTGATTCCTTGATCAGGAAGAAGGTCTACAAGCTCAACAACGACAAGCGCAAGGACTTTCCTACGTTCTCTGAGGCTCTCTGCGAGGTCCTCAAGAACTACAAGCAGCTCTGGAACGACGCTCGTTCCACAGCTGAACTTGAAAAGTTCCGCCAGGTCGAGCACGAGTTCGCTACTCCTCCGAAGCGGCCTCGCTCGAGGTCCCCTCCGCCGACACCTCCTAAGAACGAGGCCAAGACTCGCAAGAATCGCGCTCGTCGGCAGAAGGAAAAGGAGTTGCTCAAGCAAGCTCGCGCAGAGCGCGATCGCGCTCGTGACCACGCCAAGCCGACCAAGCCTTCAGTGCCTAAGCTCACAGAGAAGGACAAGGTTGATCGCGACACCCGGGTTCCGGAGAAGGAGTGGAAGAAGATCATGTCCTTCTCTTACACTGGTGCTCGCCGCTGCCCATGGTTCAACTGCTCGCTCGGCTGTCGGTTCGGTGATCAATGCAAGAACAAGCATATCTGCGTGCAGTGCGGGGGTGATCACCCCTACCATGGCAATCACTGAGCTCCTGCGCCATCGTTGGGGGAGTTTGGTCGTCTCCCTCCGGCACAAGTGCTCGACAGACCACCGGGGGAGTTCTCTCCCCCCCCACTGCAGCAGCCGCCGGCTCTGGCTGCTAATGAGGTTTCTTCTCAGAGACTGACAGCTGCCCCTGCAGGTCGGCCGCCGCCGTGGGTTCGTTGGGCGGAGGTGCCCCGGGATCCCGACACAATTCGTGAGCTCGGTCCCTGGTGCCTCGAGATCTTTGCCGCGTCTGCTGGCCTCACCGCTGCCTGGAAACGTCACGGCTTAAGACTTTGCCGCCGATCGACAAGTGCACCTCCGAGCTCCTTCTGGAGTCGATCGACTTGCTGGACGCACAGGTCTTTGATTGGCTGCTCTTGCTGTGCCGCATGGGGGCGATCGTCTTTCTGCACTTGGGCATTCCCTGCGCCACGTTCAGCGTGGCTAGGGATCGGCCTGGAGGACCTCCCCCCCCCTGCGATCGCAGGCGCTCCCCCTTGGCCTCTACGTTCTCAAGAAGCACCATCAGGCACAGCTCTTCGAGGCCAATGAGCTCTTGTTCCGATCTCTTCTTCTTTTCGACGCTGTGGTTCAAGCTGGTGGGGATGCCTCGATCGAGAACCCGAAGGACAGTCTGATCTGGCAGGTCCCTCAGGTTCAGCAGCTCAAAGTTCGTCTTCACCTCTACAACGTCGATCTTGATCAGTGCGAGTACGGATCACCTCACCGCAAGCCTACTCGGCTTCTAGTCAGTCACGCTGCTCTTCTTGCTCTTGCACGTCCTTGTTCAGGTGGACATGTTCATGAGCCTCTTCGTGGTGTGACAAGGTCGGAGACTGGCAAGAAGATTTTCAAGACTAAGGCAGCTCAGGTCTACCCCCGGCGCTTTGCACCGCGTGGGCGATCGCCGTGGCCGCGATCGTGCAGAAGTCGGCCCAGCAGTTCGCCGCTTCCTTTGCTCTCACGGCTCCATCGGCAGAACGCAAGCGATCTTTGGGATCCCAGATTGCTTGGAAAGGCCATCGCCAATCCGCTGCCGCTCGGCTGGCGGCGGCTAGCGGCTATCAGCTCAAACGTGGTGCCGCCATGCCGCTGCTCGACGTTGAGTGTGAGCCCGGTCAAGCAATCCAGTGGTCTCTTCAGGTTCGGCGCCCATTCACCGTGCAGCCGGCGCTCCCCGACAAGATCGTCGACAACATCAAGTTCATTGTCTCCTCCCCGCAGGCGCTCGTGGCTCGCCGTTCTGAGCGCCTTCAGTTCTGGCAGCAGCGTGCGCTCACGCTGCTTCCAGAGACCGATCGGATTTTGCGGTCGATCTCCGACGCTCCTCTTCGTCGGCTTCTTCGCGGTGCTCCGGATTATGCTGATCTGCAGCTGGGCTCTTGCACTCACGTGGCGCTCTACGACGAGCTCTTCGCGGCGATTGGCTGCACGGATCATCAAATTCTCCAAGGCATTCGCGGTGGCTTCCCGATCGTTGGCGAAATCCAACGATCGGGGCGCTGGCCGCCGTTCACAAAGCCACAGCGGTCAGTGCCTGTGCAGGAAGCTCTGGATCGGGCCTGGGAGTTGCGAGCCAAGGTCTTTCGCAGATGCAGGCCGGTTCCCGTTTCTGACAATCTAAGGTCTCTTTGGAATGCCACGCTCGAGGACGTCATGGGTCCTTTCGGATCCGAAGAGGAAGTCTCCAAGTTCTTGGAGTGTTCCGACTGGATCCCGACCCAACGTTTCGAAGTGGTTCAGAAAAACAAGGTCAGAGGCTGCGACAGTGCGACCTCCAACTTGATCAACCAGACCGCGGTGATCACCGAGAAGTTGGATCTACGCACTTGAACGTGGCGGTTCTGTGCGAGCTCCGCACCAGAGGAGGCGATCGCCCGCTACGAGGATGGGTCCTTGACGAGCGGAAGGCCTATCGGCAGCTTCCGATCTTGCCGGAGCACAGGAAGTTCAGTGTGATCTGCCTGAAGGATCCTGGTGATGGCATTCCCAAGTTCTTTGTGATGATCGGACACTCCTTCGGGCTCGTGGCGGCGGTCTACAACTATAATCGCCGCTCGGCCCTGATCAACGATATTCTCGTCCGGCTGTTCAGCATGGTCGCCTTCAACTTTTACGACGACAAGTACGGGTTCGAGACCGATCTCACGGCGCCGTCGGCTAAGGTCGTGGCCGAGTGCATCCACTTCTGGCTCGGCGCTCTATTCGACGAGAAGAAGCTCCAGCTCTCGGCGGCGCCCGTGATCTTGGGCGTGACTTTTAACCTCGAGCTCCTAGTTCTTGAGATCAAGGAGCAGAGGAAGCAGGAGCTCCTGGACTCGATCGACGCGATCTTGGAGGCGGGTACCTTGGATCCCGGGACCGCAGGGAAGCTCAAGGGCAAGCTCATGTTCGGAGCGAGCCAGCTCTGGGGGAAGGTTGGACGTGCGTTCTTCCGGCCCCTCGGAGCGCCAGTACTCGAAGGACCGGTCTAGCGATCGTATGGAGCTCAATCAATCTGGCTCTGGAGCGATCGCTTCGTTACTGTTGGAACCTCATCGTTCATGGTCCTCCGCGTGAGATATCACTCCGCTCGGAGAAGAGGGCCGACGTTGTGATCTTCACAGACGGCTTCACTCCAGACTTTCGGAAGTCGGAAGAAGGAGCCGATCGGATCGGAGCCGTGATGTTCGATCGGAGGGCCGATGCTCCCAAGCAGTTCACTGAGGTGATCCCACTCGAAGTATCGGACCGATGGCTCGCGAGGAAGACCCAGATCGTCCCGATCGAGATGATCGCGCCGATTCTGGCGCTCGAGACTTTCCGGGATCACGTGAAGAATAAGGACGTTCTCCTTCTGATCGACTCTGAGGCGGTCGAGGCTGCTCTAGTGAAAGGATACTCTTCAAAGGAAGATTTCTGTGAGCTCGTTGAAGTTTTCTGGGAATTGGCTCTTGAATATAGGGTCAACTTCTTTATCGATCGAGTTTCTACAGATGCCAACCCCGCAGACTGGCCATCGAGGGATCGCCTCGAGATTGGCCAAGCTGCTGGGTGGTCGACAGTTTTGTGCTCATGGCCAGCGAAGCTCCGCTAAAAGATCGATGCAGGGCCTGGGAGGTTGCTCGTGTTTCGAACGAAGGGAATTTGTTCGAGATGCTCTCGCGTCTGGTGTCCCGGGAAGGGTTCGCCGGTTGCGGGTTCGAGCGACTGCGACGACGACGACTCCGTTCGTGGGTTGTCGTTGTCCTGGGGTGGGGGCCGGTCGTTTCTGATGCTCTTCGGTAGTTCTTCTGGAGACCGCTCAACCCCATGCTAGAGCGGACTAAACATTGCTCGTCCGCTCGGTGTGTGGCATGCTGTTCAGTGAGCTTGCGAGCGTTCGTGCGTGTAGTGTGCTTGCTTTTTTTTATCGGACACCGACTCTCGCCCACAATCTCTGTGCTCCTTTGTGCTCCTTGAGATCACACCCAGCCACCAGGCCATGAGCTACAGCAGAGGAGTCTTAATGTACAACTTCAACGAGGCAGCAGTCGTCCTTGGGCTTGCTATGGCTTGCTTCTGATTGTGACACGTCGTAAAACGAACGGCTCCAGGACCGCTTTGGCGAGGATCTGCAGCACAAGCCAAAGCCACTCGACCCAATTTATGCAACCGGGATCAATTGAGAAGGTCCGGCTACAAGGGGTGAAACAAAGCTTTCAGCAGAGCCTCGACGAAATGGCTTCCAAAACAGCCGTGACAAGCCTGCAGGGTTGAGGATGCACCCAAGATGAGCGTGTCTCACACTGTCCACAACTGGCTGGAGCCTCACGGAATATAGCTGAGTTGCTTCAAGGGTACATTGGCTTCATGCTCATGAATGCTTTCGTCAGGAAGACTCCTTCTGTTGGCAAGGTGTGCTGCTGAGTTGAAGCGTGATTTGGATATTGGCTTTGCTTCAAGCTTGCACCGATAGTTTGGCTCAGGCCGAGAATCCTTCGCCTGGTTTGGATAGGCGGGAGAACAGCTTTCAAGTTGTGTCATTCGGATCTGCCCTGGTTCATATCGGAGGACGAGGTTTTTCATAGGTCAAACCCACTTCGTCCTTGTGCCGAGAAGGAACAGTATTCGGGACAGACACGCTTCTGCACACCGCGCACGAATGACCTTTGAACCACACGTACCTCACGCAAGCCCCCGCAGTGTCGATTGGCAAAAGTGCCGAGCCAGAACCAAAATCTTCGCGGAACACAAGTATAATACGCAAGTATAATCCCCCATCTTACATTACGCCCCTGAGTCCCCACACAGTGCCAGCAACAAGGAATCCGGACCCTCTCTAAATCATAAAGACGCTCCATTGAACTCTACTTGCGAAACTCCGGCATCGGCATCTCTCTCTCTCTCTCTTTCTGCCCCCCGCCCTCTCCTTCCCTCCCGGCTCTTTCTGTCGGAAGGTGCAGAAGAAAGAGAGTCTTCAGCCCGCCTGATGTATAAGTTAGTATGATTTTGGTTTCAGTCTGTCCTGGCACTACAGACATCTCCAGGAACACAAGACCAGCTCGGAACGAGCCGCCTTTTTAAAACAACAACGCATGATCTAGGAATTGAGAGGTTCCCTCGGCTTAGTGCAGCCACGAGTAGACTTCGGGTCCGAGGCCAGATCTTCCTAGTAGAATCTGTGGTATATACACACTCTTTGAGTGTCTCGTGCCAGGAATTGTTGTGGTTCCTGCAAACTCCCAGCACCTGAACTCTTGCACGCTTCCTGTTGGTGCGGACGAGTAGCATCCCCCTTTGCGCCTCGTGAGAGCGCTGTCGAGCTCAGGTTCCCAGTCTAGCTCGACCGGCTTTCGGCGATTCGGGTTCCCTCCGCGTCTTCTTTTCCTTCAGCTGGTGCTCAAAATAAGCTAAGCAAGATCATTCGAGGTCTGCTGCATGCTGTCACAGCTCCTGGTCATATTGCGCATGCAGACAACATCGTTACTTACGCGGGCTTTGCGTGCTTCGTGGCAACGCAGAGTCAACAAGACCAGAGCCGTGCTTTCGTGTTCTTGTGTCGGCCGGGGCTGATAGGAACAGCGAAGCGACGGCTTTATTCGGTGGAAGTTAAAGACTGCAGTCAACATGTCAAGCGCAGCAAACACTGATGTTGGGGTAGCATCAACACGAAAGTCCAATATTGTGCTTGTTGTCTCTCTTCCCAGATCCAAAGCCCAACCCAAACCAAACTAACCCACCATGCTGGGCTCACAGCCAAAGAAGGCACCCCTAAATCCAACCATGTACGGGTGGAAAAGGGCGGAGGCGTAGCCGTGTGTCATGCGTCCCTTTCTGTTTGAATGTCCGGGTTGAAAGATGCACGGCCTCCCATAGAGCGATTCGAGTGTCCAACTTGATTTTGCAGGCATGTTCTGTTCGGGCATACTGGCGACATGCGAGATCCGCCCGACCCTTTGCCACAAGTACCGGCATATTCGCATGCCTTGTGTGCCCCATCTAAGGCATACGAACCTGCAGAAGGTAGACTTCATGACTACGAACCAGTATTTCCAGCAGGAGTCGATCTACTAGCAAGGCTGTCTTTTCCGCACGTCAGACCGATGAGGTTCAGATCGACCCTGTAGGAGTTTGCCAAAGCACGTCGATAAGATGGTCCTGACTTCTGATCAGTTGCAGTGCGGGCCTTAGGTAAGATAAGACTGCACCGCGCTGCGTCATGCTTTGTCGTATCAGCAGCCACACTGACAGAACTGCTTTGCGAATTCTCCGAAGTCGCATCGATGCAGCATTGAACCAGCACAGCATATACAGCATCACAAGGCTTTGTGACCTCATTCTACAGGGACCAACGAAGATTTCACTGAGTCTTGTTGGACTGTCCTCTCACAAGGTGGCTACTGAAAAGCAAGGAAGTTGCGAAGGCTGGAGGAGTGCTGCCCCGAAGGGAAACGGTGTGCTTGTCGGTGCAAATTCTGAGGCTTCTCGGGGGAACGAGTTTAAGGGTAGTGCGTCCTTTGGCGATGGTGCTGGTGTTCCTGGTGGTCGAGTGGTGGTCGATTGTCCGAGTCGTCGTTCTGGTCATGGTCATCGTGATCCTCGCGGTCCCATATGGGGTGATCTTGGTCATTGTGGTCGTCATGGTCGTCGAGCTGATCGTGAAGGTAGTCGTCGTGGCTTGTCGTTTTGGTCATCGTAGACGTGGTGGTCGTCTGGGTATCTTCGGAGTGGGTCTTCGCTAGCAATCTATGCCTATGCGTTGATATATGCAAGTCTGGATAGATCGGAGTTGGTGAGTAGGCATGAATATGTGTGTATTTATGCCTGTCTGCCTGCATGCAAGTGTGCATGGATGGACCAAAATAAAAATTGTTGGATGTCTTCGTGTGTGTGTATGTACATGAAGGTGTCGTTGTGAGACCATACATGTAGTACATAAAAGGCGAGCATCCACGTTGGCATGCATCTGCATGTGTGCAGGACAGGAGGCTATCTGGTCATTCGCTTTGCCAGCATCTATGTGAAGGTGATGCAGCCCGCAGTTGCAACAGCCATCACTGTCAGCACAAGCACTGGTACGTTGTCGCAACATACAAACCCGCATTTCATGACAAAAACGCATGTTCATCATTTTCTAGACAGCTGATGTTTCACGGATTGCAAGCTGAGTCTCACTGGTCGAGTGACCAGCTCTGTCTAAGCGACACTGCTGGAAACCAGGCAAAAGGTGTGAATATTGTGCTGCTTCCAAAACTCATGAGGAAAATCTTGTGGTGGATTGTGAAGGTTTTACACGAGCGAGTGAAGTACAAGGCGGCAAGACTCCGGAAGGTGGACTACGACATAGAAAGTCAACAAGGTGTGCTGCAGAAGGACAGCGGCGCCAGACGCCACTCAAATTTGCCGGAGCAGTCGCTTCTGAACGCTTCTGTGCCCAACTCAAAAACTGCAGTGGTTGGCTTGGCTTTGCTGGGAGATGCCCGAGAACCTGACTGCAACAGTTTCCACGACAGGTATACTTCCGTATGATGCAGGAGCGTCACCATGCCAGCCAATCCACTTCTCGGCTTTTCTGCTTCCTAACATCACAACGGGTGTTCATTCTCCGTAGTTTTGGACTGTTCGGCGCAGCTCTTTACAAGGGATGCTTAATGAAATGCTTCAGAAGCCAGTGTCGCTGATGGCGAGTTCTACGCGGTCGCATGAACAGCCTTGACTTCGAGTCAGAGGACTTGCCTTCCAGTCGTGTTAGTCGTCATTGCATCATTCCGCGATTTCCCCACGTCTGAGAAAACTTAGCGCGCTTGTTAACTCTAGGAGTCGTCGTCGCAGCAACACGAGGCCCTTCGTTTTGCCACAAGCAGGGCAGGCAGCCAGGAGTTTGGATTGCTACCAGGCTTCGGGCTGGCGGCGGCTGCCGACGGCATGGTTCCACATGTTGTTTGCAAGATGCTCATGCGGTTGTTTCTGACGCATTCAATATGAGTTACTGCATCTGGTGACGAGTGATAGCCTCGGAAACAAGGTCGAGTGCATCCACATCTATCTGGCAGTTTTCGCTTGGTTCAGACTTGCTCCTCGAGCCAATATTGCTTCTTGTGGTTGTTTTTGCCTGTGTGTTTCAGTGCACATGGACGTCTCGCAATGAGGTAACAAACGTCAATCTGCGCACTGCCATGGGCGCTCACTTTCAACTCCAGGGTCACCTCGAAGGTCGCAGCTGCGAAGCGTTTCTGCAGTGCAGTATGCAGCGCATTTCTGGCTCCAAGCTGGTGTTCTGAACCTGGGCAACGACAATCTCCGTTGTTGAGAGGCTATTTCTACAACCTCTTCCTGTTTGGCTCTACAGCATCAACATCACTTCATCTGTCCAATGTCACTGATACGTTCTTCCTGGGTCCGAGGCCCAGACAGGGGCTGCAAAAAGTGCGTCGACTAGAGAGAAGACGATCTTCGTCTAGGCCAAGAGCAACAGGAGCAGCCGATCTTCAGCTGCAATTTCTATCGGCGTCCGTTTCGCTCGCAAGTGCTCGTACAACCGGATACTAACCAACGCCAACCATCAGCTCGTGCTCTGTGTAGCGACCCCACGCCTCAAGTTCGAGCATTGCACTGCAAAAGGCTGCACCGGGAAACTCTGTGCACAAGCCGGCGTGGCTCGAAGGATAAGTTAATATCACCCCGCATGGAAGCTTTATTGTCTTATTGTAAGACCCTGAGAATAACCGGTCACGGCCATATGCGCGGCCATCTCGATAAAAACAATGGTGAGATGCACGGTCGTATGAGTCGGACACGTGAGTCTACTGACTCTACTGTGCACCGTCCGGCTTACTGGCATCGCAAGTTCGCTGTTCCATCCAACCCCTTTAGACTCTAGACCAACCTGGCACGAAGACGTACATGTTTGGTTTGGGCATCTCGACTGTTGTAGCCATGTCATAGTAAGGTACATAGATGAAACTTGATGAAACTGAGGACTGTCTTCTACAATGGCTCCGTGCTCACACTTCCGTCCACCAGCATTGACGGAGCCAACATCCCATGGATTGTCCTGGTGCGCCCAAGCAGAGCACTGAAAAGTAGACGACATGCTGAAGTGACTAACGTGACTAGCAATTTGGAACGTGCTGAAATCCATTGTGCACAACCGGCTTCCAAAACATAATTTGTGCTCCATCCCTCCCGCACGACGCACTTCCGTGAATGATCGTGAATGCATGTGCTTGACCTTTGTGGTTGCGGCTTTGCTCCAAGATTGCTTCTCGGACAATTGTTAGGTTTGGTTGCTGCCATTGGGCGCTGCTTTCTTGATGCTTCTTCATCTGGTCCTGCTCGCCCGACGACGTCTTTTGGCAGAATGATTCTGTGCTTGATGTGATTCAGCATGAATCCACTAGGCGAGTGTAGCAGCGATTACTGCACTCGGGGATCATTGCAAGTGAGGTATATGGAGCTTCGATTGCGGGGCGACTCGACTGAACGTCACCATGAGTGTGGGAGCCCGCCTGAATTTACGGATACCTTTCGCGAACATGTGCACATGTACATGTGTGTACACACCTTGGTGTTGTTATGTACTTGTAGAAGGATTCTGCAGGGGGCAGCGCCTGGCGTGGTGACGCTGGCCTACGAAGCTAGCAACACCATGCGACGAGGTTTGGGTCTCCGAACTTTGTACTTCCAAAACAGGTGGACAGGACCCTGTCCAATATTCCACCAACAAAGTCAGTGTCTCTTCCTTTTCTCGAAAGTGTTTTCCGTGTTCATTTTTGCCGGCACGGTGCCACAATCTGAATTCCACTTTCATTTTCGACACGGGGCCAGATCACAGGGGCATGAGCCCGTGCCATCCCGTGCCCGCGATAGCCGATGACTAGGAGTGGCTATGACATGCAGAACATCAAGTTTCATCCCATCGGTATCATCGCAGTGGGCTGACATGTGCCTGCAGGACTTCATCCGGATCATGGGCGCTTGCCCGAACAAGGGCTTGGACACTGTTCGACCAATCAGGACGGCATGTGTGTCCTATAAATCCGAAGTAAGTCGGCATGTGCCTCTGCAGAGCAGGACCCAGGCAGGTACGCTCCTTGTATCATGTTTACAATAAGTTGGCAATGCAAACTGCAAGTGCAATCAGTTGCAACGCATCATGGAACAACCCCTTGATGACGACAGCAGACGCCTCCCAACAGACCAGACCGGGAGACCATCGCGCCCGCCATTCTCCTACACAAGAGATCCGTGCCCTCGCGGAACGGGTTGAAAGACTCGAGGCCATGCTGAAACCCCAAGGTTGCTGCTTTAAAGCATTTATACGTTTTGCATGATTGTTGGTGTTCGCAGAATTCGGTCTTTGCTGTCTTCGCATTGCTTTAGACTATTAGACAGCCATAACCCATGTTTTCGGGTTTGGAGATGGCTGGATGCACGACTTGTCCCAAAGATGGCCACGCTATACCATGTTGCCAGGTTTGGCGCGTCGCCAAATGCTTCGTTCGGCACCTCAAACCTAGTTGGCGCATCCTGCGGCTTCTTCAAAGTTCCGGCGTGCCAGCAGCGGACAGTAAACTTGAACGCCATCGTTAGCGCGATCCGACCGCGCCACCACAAGCCGCTGAAAAACGGCATAAGTACATGCTTGCATGCAATGTTGCTGCAAGTTCGTCGTCCGTATGTAAGGGGTAACCTGCGACAAGCGCGTGCTTCAGTTCTGCTGCCAACGAAGACGGCTGCAGCATTCCGTGACATTATCATGCACAGTGGACTGGCATACCTACATTGACGGGCAAAATCGCACACTTTGCGAATCCTTGTGACATTAACCGTCTGTCGTCGCTGCACACTGACTCATGAGGCCAATGGGGCATAACGGGGCCACCCCAGACCCGATGATTGGAAACAAACATTAGGGGGAGGATTGTGTCTGTGTGCGTGCGTGTGTGTGTGTGTGTGTGTGTGTGTTTGTGTTTGTGGGTAAACAGGGGAACATTGGAAGTACGGCGCAAAAGGAGACGATGTTGACTGCATGGGATGATTGGTGCTGCAAGACTTACAGACCAGTGTGGGGGGGCCCAAAGCCTGTCCTGTCCGAAGGGGGTCGGAAGGCGCCTCACCGCAACATCTTCGAACGTGTTCAGTTCAAGTTCTGCAAACCAAGATCACCACCCGTTTTTTGCAATTCCACCCTCTCTCTCTGTGTATCTCTCTCGCTCTCTCGCGCTGTCTCTCTTTGTCCGCTGTTGTCGGCGTCTTGTCATTTTGCTCTGCTCGTCCACTAGTCTTTCAGTTCTTTGCATGCATGTTGGCTTCATGCGGGATCCGGTGGTCCAACGACGACACTTGTGGATACTCCGTGCGCTAGTGTGTGTGTGTGTGTGTGTGTGTGGCTGCAAGATGCTTCAAGTCTTGTAATGGTTTCTGGCACATGGAAATGTTTCGCAGTGCATGGCGCATTTGTCCCGTTATTATGGCTTGGGTTTTGCTTGATCGGTTCCGTCTTTCATGGCATGAGCGAAGACGCCCTCCAAATATTCGTCTGGCAGTTGCCTTCAAAGGAGTGCTCGCGTCCTCGGACGAGCGTGCAGGATAGTTTCGGTTCATTTGCCGGCATCCAGGGAATATGCGCTGCAAATCTGGCAGTGTAATCTGAATGTGCGAAGTTGTGTGAGAAGCTGGGTCATTTGAGGCATACCTGCAGTTCAGCTGGGACATCGTGCGCACGCCAGAATACAGGCATGTCCGTGGTGCGTACATGTACATGTCCCGTGTTGAGAAGGTGACAGCCCTGTCGTCAGGTGGTCAGTGGGACTGATGGCGTTTGCTGCAATCTTGCTTCCTGTTGTGTGGATATTGCAGATTCTGCTGTTCCATCTTCCAGAGACTGAGCCGAACACATCAGCCAGAGAAGGCCGATCTAAAAACTTCAAGCAGCAGCCCAATCAGCAAAGTGCAACATCCAAGGACCAGTGGAACGTTCTCAAGGGAAGTGTTCTGAGCGGATTGCTGCTCTTGTTTGCCTTGGAGCTCGGTCTCAAGAGAAAAAGCTCGTAACATGGGACGAGGCTCGGTCGTCGGATGCACGCATTTCGGTTCCGAATGCAGAGCTCCGCTCGTGGCACAGCCATGTCTCCTACGCAAGCACGGCTTCTGCACCTCTTTGGCAAAACTCCGTTGTAACCCAAGGACCAGCTTGCGTTTCCAAGCGTTCCCTGCCATGACTGGGAATCTCGGTTGATAAATTGCATGGGGTGAGTCGTTTGCGAGGGCATCCCTGCACAATCAATGGCGAAACCAAGGCGTCGCAATTTCAGACTTTGGCTTTTCGCCGACCGATTCTGCACTTGATTCTTGGCAGTTTGGCTTAATTTCGGCCTCAGCAAATGACAGATCTGCTCAGCTCAGCCTGAAGCAGTTATCGGTTGGTGCGGTTTGAGCTTCCCAGCCAACGCTTCAAGAAATGGAAGGCAGCAACAAGAGCTTCGGCCTGAAGCTCGTGGATGCGTGCAGCTCTCAGACTCAAACTCGGGCCGTTCAAGAAGGATTTGGCTGCAACGTTTCTTCAACTTCGAAAGGGGGTTCGACGTCCTCCCATGGCCAGCTCATGTTTCGTGTATGTAGATATGCACATCTACTGCGGCATACACATGCACAATCGCGCAGTGTCCATTCCCGCAGAGTATCTCTGGAGTATCCTGGAGTGACCAGCCCGGAGTCCCGGAGTATCCCGCAGGGCCTCCCTGAGGACACCCCACTCCCTGCAGCGCCCACGCTCAGAGCATCCCACAGAGTGTCTTTGGAGTGCCCATCCCCAGCGTGGTTCGCAGAGTATCCTCGAGCATTCACGCTTAACTAAGAGAAGGAAGTCTGCTCTACACCTGAGTCTCTATCTCTCGGTAGATAAGTTGAAGTGTAACACACTTGTGTGTGCTAGGACAAGCCGGCGAACGTCGATCCCGCAGCTGCCTTTTGGGATCGACGTCGCCCGGCCTTCAAGCCTTTTCTTTTAGCTGCTTCCCGGCGCCATGTCTTCGGCGTCCCGGCGCACCTGCAAGTGTGCCGACATAGCCGGCGAAGCCGGATCGGCCCCCACCGAGGGTGCCCCCGGCGGAGCCCAAGAGATCGAGCTTTCCTCCGGCACGGGAGGCGGATCCTATTTCGTCCTCGGCGACTTCGTCCTTGAAGTCCCCGGCACATGTCGCATGCACTGAGCTGCGACCGTTGAAAAGGACTGCTGAGCCACTGGTGGGATGCACGTTGCCCGCGATCAGACGACCTTCATACTCTTCGTAGTGACGGCCATCCTGTTCCTCCACCCATATCCCCCCTTCGAGATGGTGGCTGAGGCCGATTAACAGAGTCATGCCATCCATGTTGCCCCGGTCAACGTGAGCGCCAGCACGGTTGTCCCAGCTTACCGCTAGGCTGGTCCAGAAGTGATGCGGCCAGACTGTGTGCACGAGCTTGTTCAAGAGGCGGCAGAGGTTGCCGTAGTGCTTTGTCTCCTTGCTGTGACCAAGAATGCCCCCTTTGCCATACAATCCCAGGGTGAGAAGTTTGCCATCGGCAATGGGTCGGGCATCCTCCGAGATCTCCCAAGCTTGCACAGCTGACCTCGCCAAGGCCCATATAAGCCATGTGCGCTCACTGAGCGCCTGCCAGGCAAGCAGTTCGGCTGCGCACATTTCGGTTGAAGCGCATCCGATCGGCGGAGGCATGTGTATGTAGTCCGGCGAGTGCACCATCTGGGTGAGCGCTTCTGCGTAAAGCAGAAATCTACGTCGCTCTGGCTCAGACAGTCGTTCCAAAGCAAACAAAGGCAACTATATCGTTCACCGCGGATACCGTGAGCAGTGGGGGAAGTTCATTCACAGCTGTGTCCCCAGTGAGCTGTCGCAGTTGCGTCAGAAGCAGCCTTTCCTCCAGAGCAGTCGTGGCGATATGCCAGGCCACGGGTACCGCCAAGATCCTGCAAGCCTCCATGGATGTTGGCCACTTTATCGTAGTCTGTCCCTGCCCGCAAAGAACTGCATTGTCATGCCAGGGGCAAACAGTGCTGCAGGCTTGAGGTTGAATATCACCCGAACTACAAAGCGCAGCGCGCAACATGCTATACCGAGTGTTGCTTGAGCACCCTTGAGCGGGCAGAAACAACCAGGGTCACGATGGTCAAAACCCATAAGGCAGCATGCTCGCATGCGCAAGTGCAACCGAGCTGAGTTTGGGACAGCTATGCGCTGTCGGGCAGCTGGCGCTTGCCAGGGAGCAGTTGAGCCCAGAAGTGCTTCACTCACAAACTGTGTAGATGCTGCGAAATGGAAACATGTTGCAAATAAATCAAGTTCACTGAACCATGCACAAAAGCCTGCGAGACTACTCTTTGCAGACCCGTAGGCTTTGCTGAAAGATCAGAGCAAGATGGAACGGACAACGCCTACCAGGTAGGCGTTGCACCGGATGGTTTGGACATCCGCTGACTTTGCCAGACGCGGTGGTCGTCCGTCGTCACACACCCAGTAACGGAAGCCGGAGTCCGAAGTCACCGTTGACGGATCAGTAGGAACAGCAATAGCGGCGCGATAATGCCCACTATCAACCGCCTGTCCTAGGTGATAGACGACAAAGACTATACCCAAAACGCTTCGTGGCGCAGCGGGATATCATCCCCCGCCCCTTCTTCACCGGCGTCAGCGAAGACCGGAATGGCCACCGTGGCACCTGGTGCAATGTGTATTGCTCTGCTATTTTTGCGAGCTGTGGTGTCGAATCTGTATCTTACCAGTCGAAACACTATGGCCCCGCTATGCTGAACAATGGCATGTGTTGCATACTGCACGGCCCAACTTGCGAGGAGCTCTTCAAAGGACGCGCCTGTGAGGTGCAAGTTGATTGGCTCCCAGAGCGGACCTGATTGCGTGACTGTGTGAGGGTTACTTAGTCTCGCCTCGCAGGTACCCTGATATGCTTGAGGCCGCAGCATGTTCAACATGTGTCCCCAAAATTCCCCTGCATCGTGTTGCTGCAATGGGTGGGGCCAGGCTCTTAGTATGGGTCGCCACGCAATGCTATCGGGTATGCTGGCGGATGTGGCTGATCTGAGCATGGACATTCCTGCATTAGCGGCTGCATAGCACTGCTCTTCGGCAGACGTCAGCTCACCAACCCAGTAAAGAGCCTGAATGCAAGCATTGCAGTAGCAGTAGTTGCACGTGTTGCGAAGGCGGGCTAACGGCAACCTAAGTCCAGAACGCAGCTGTAACCGACTGGCCCCGGTCCGGCTGTCCCCACAGGTAGTCGAGGACCCATGGCGCTCGCTACTTCCTGGATCGCAAGCTCGTAGCCATGTAGTTCGTCTCCACATACTTCGCCATGGGTTGCCGAGCCAATCTTTCCGGGCGCACTCGCATTCCCAGAAGCTTGCAAGCCGCACAACCCGTCAGCAGCTGGAAGCCCTGATAGCAGGCATTCGCCGCCTGGCTCCGGAGCCCGATGTGAAGAAGAAAGGGCAGAACCGAACCTCCTCGATGTACTCGTCCTCCATGTTCTTGGTGCTCTTGAAGTTCAAGCACACCCCGTCCGTGCCCAAGCTCTGCAGCAGGATCTCCAAGGTGGCCTGGATCTTGGTGGTTGCCACTGGAGCCTGACTGGAGATGACCTGCTTCTTCTGCTTGGGATCCCATACGTGGTAGTTCCAAACTGGGTCCAGAGCCATGCTCCCCGCTGTCATCCAGCCCACTGAGGTGGCGTTCTCGACTTTGGCTTCGTCCCGCATGAACTGGCCCAGGCGCTCCTGCAGCTCCTGTACCACCGCCAGAACCAAGATAATTCTCAGGGGGCTGTTGACTGCCCCTCCTCGAATTTCTTGCCCCAAGACTCCGCAACCTCCTTGAGCTTTGGCAGACGTGGGCCGTCGGTGTGTCGAAGAAGACCAGGAACCCCGTCTCGGAGCGTAGTCGGCCGAGTTCCTGTTCGTGTCGCAGAGCCAACTTCACCATGCTCTGGATTTGGCGCTTGCCGCGGGACCATGAATCCCAGGAGGCTCCTTTGCCCTGCGGTGGTATTTGGGCTGGCGGCCCGATCCTCGGCCCCTCGCTCCCTGTCTCGCCTCCGGCTCCTTGGCATCGAGATCCATCTGCTGCGACGCCTCTGCTCCGAAGACGGCGCTCAGCTCTTGGCGGGCAATGGCGGCCCGGTTCGGTTCCTTCATGATGGCTCTGCGCACTACAAGCTGGCACGTACAGACTCAGAAAGGCCGCCTGATACACAACAGGGCATTGTTTGAGGTGCCGCCTAGGATCCTGACAAGTTTTGGTACAGTACCTACACGGAACTTCTGCAAGCAAACCGAGGCTGCCGCAAAGCGAGGTTGCGTGTTTGTTGTGCTGATTAAATGCAGTGCCATGTATCAAGCGATAGTGTTGCTTCAATCCCGGTCCGGTCATGTTGACATATTGACCACACAGCACGCAAGACGTACGCAACGAGGCGTTGTAGCCCCCTTGTCGAAGGATCCCTCGCCAGTTGGCACAGAGACTATAGTAGTGAAAGATTCATCTTCAACTAGAGCAGTGCAAGGCTCAGGACTGTATGCTGGTGCTCCATCTGCAACCGAAGGACTCTCCACAACGACACAGCGACCTAGCTGATCTTCGGTGGTTGTGGGTACCTGTGCCACAACCGCCGGTGGGGCATCCCTGGCACTTCCGGAGAGCCTGCAATCGTCTTTCCTTGCAAACAAGATGGGGCAGGAGCCCTTAAGATGTTTCTTAAGACCTTCAACCCTCGTGAATCTGCGTGAACAGTGTATGCACTCCGGCATGCCATCCTTAGCATGACGTGTGTATTCCCGGGCCTGGCGGGCTGCCCTTTCAACCTTAGTTTCGGGGTGCTTCTTAGCCCGGTGGGTGAGCATTATCCGACGACAACTAAAGTATTGGCCACACACATCGCAGGCAGTTCCAGGCACCGGGTCAATCGGGATTAAGCTGGTGCTCTCGAGGGGCTCGTCCGGGGTACGACGGTTAACCACTGAACCTGGTCCCAGAAGAAACCAC